GAGATTGGATCAATTACAACAAAGAAATTTCTTTCCCACGGTTCTGGAGCCTGGAAATCCGAGCAGGAGGCACAGGAGGTTTTACTTGTGTCTGGGGAGGGCATCTTCTCTGCTTCCAGTGAGGGCGCCCTGTCTCCACCCCCCAGAGGGATCAATGCTTTGCACTCCCATGGCCACAGAGGTGTCGGGCCAGGCAGCTCTCTGTACCCCCGTTCATAAGGGCATTAATGCTATCCATGAGCACAGAACCCTCATGGCTTGATCACATCCCCAAAAGCCCCACCTCTTAGTATCGCCACAAAGAGGATTAAGTACCCAGCATGCGAATTTTGGAGGGACACACACCTTCAAACCACAGCTGTGGGATCCATCTTCCTCCTGGGGCTGCTTGAGCTGCGTGGTATTTACACAAACACACGCCGGGGTCACACCCAGGACCCCCATTGAATGACCCACCCAGCCTTGCCGTCCCCATATTTTGAGATGTTTTCACTTCCGTTCAATTCAGGATATCTTAAATTTCACTTCTGAACTCTCTCTGACCCGTGGGTGTTATTTAATCTGCAAACAGTGGGGGATTCCCAGATATCGCTGTCACTGATCTCCAGTTTTTTAAAGATTTTTTATTTGTTCTACTTAGTTGCCCGTGACAGCAGAATGCACTTCCATTCATCGCACACGAGTGGAGCGCAACATTTCAATGCTCTGGTTGGACACGGTGTAGACACGCACCACCCGAGCGGTCACACCCGTGCCTAGGGAGATGATGTCCGTCCGGATCCACCGTCTTTCCTACCCCACAGCCCCTCCCGCCCCCTCCCTTTGCCCCTTCCCAGGCTCTCCCTGATTTCCAGTTATTTTTGTTTATGAAGTTATGCTGTCATGACTTCAATTCTGTGATTGTTCTTTTTATCGAGACCCCCGTGTACCCCCAATTTCCTTCTCCTGCTTTCTTCTTTATTCTTCTTCTATGTATGACTAACATAACTTTCTAAAGATATTTGGCTCATTTATTTATTCGTTTATTTGCAGTGCTGACGATTAAACACAGCCTTGTGCATGTGAGAAAAATGCTCCCTCACTGAACCATGTCGTAATTTATTTTACTCACTTTCTTTCTTCCGGTTACCGCTCTGACGGTAGGGATATCGTTGTTGTTTGGGGATGAATCCTTGGTGCCTAGAACACAGCTTAGTATTTAGTAGGTGGTTGATACATATCTGTTGAATGGATGAACGAACAAATTGGACATGTTAGGAGACCAACAATCAGAGATGTTGTTCTATTCCTCGGAGGTCACAGAGCATGAATGGGGCAGAGCTGGGGTTCTCCAGGGTCCAAAGCATTATGTTAGACTCAGGGGATGTGCCTGGATTCCACTACCAGTCCCCGAATACCTACTGTGCGCCGGGTCCAGAGGGATGGCATTGGCCATGCGTCCACCGTCTGTACACAGTAGGACCACTAGCCTTTCTTGGGCTTGCCTTGCTCCAGGCCCAGCCGCCTCAGCGAGTTCCCTTGATGTGCAGAGATGCCATCAGCCCGTCCTTCTGACCCGTTTGCCTGACCCCTGGACATGTCCACGTCCATCTGGAGCCTGCTGCTCTGCGGTGCTTAGCAGGTTGGCCGAGCAGATGGGCTCTCCTGTCTCAGACAAGCCTCTCCTTCCCCCTGTAGAATGGGCACATGCACCCCTGAGGCAGGTGGGGAGGCCTGTGGCATTAGGCCCACCACGGGGGAAAGCCCAGCCCCTGGGGTGCGCTGTCGGTGGAAAGCAGAGCTGATCTGCGGCCCCTCTGGGGTCACCCCGTCCCCACGTGCTGGGGAAGACTTTCCATCAGGAGACCAGGTTGTTTATATCGAGACTCTTAGTGGAACATAGATTCCATTGTGTTTAAGCCACTTTTTTGGGGGGTGGGGGGGTACCTGGGATTGAGCTCAGGGCCACTCGCCCACTGAGCCACATCCTCAGCCCTATTTTGTATTTTATTTGGAGACAGGGTCCCACGGAGTTGCTTAGCGCCTCGCTGTTGCCGAGGCTGGCTTTGAACTCACCATCCTTCTGCCTCGGCCTCCTGAGCTGTTCTTGTTTTGAGGCTCCGAAACTCAAACTCTAGCTCGGACCCACGTCTGCAGGATTTTCTTCGTGGTTTAAGCCAGTTTGGGTTGCGTTTCCTTTTACTCTTAGTGGAAAGCCCCGAAAGAGGGGTCCTGCGGGGGTCTTAGCTTTTGGGGTGTGTTTTAGTTTCCTAAGATGAACTGAAATAACGTTTCATAAATTCCATGGTTTAAACAACAGAATTGGGTTCCTTCCAGTTCTGGAGTTCAAAAGACCCAAATCGGTTCCCCGGGGCCTACACCAAGGCCTGGCGGCTGCGGGGGGGAGGGGGGGGGGAGGCCTGTTCTCCAGTTTTTTCCAGCTTCTAGAACCACTTTCTCTGCACTCCTTGTACTCCTACCGTCATCTCCAGGGTCCACTCAGATCCCGTGTGCCCAAGCATTCAGTCCTGGGACCTCGTAGTGGGTTGAATTGTGTCTCCCCTGATTAACCGTCTAAGTCCTGACCCCGAGGAGACTGGAACTGACCTCATCTGGACAAAAGGGACTTTGCTGAAGTCAGTAATTGAAGCGTCTAAAGATGGGATCGGGGACCTCTGTGTCAGGAACCATCTGTATAAGGAAGCTTTCCTCCTAATTAAAAATGCAAGTTGTGAGCGAATCCTTTGAGTCTGTGTGAGAATCCACTTCCTTGAGGAATCAAGGGTGGGGGACACAGAACCCACTCCCTCACCGAGGCCCCACCTCCTACGGCTTCCACCACCTCCCGTAGCTCCACCACCTGGGGTCCAAGGCTTTAACAGGAGACTCTGGGGGACTTTTAGCTGGGCGTGGTGTCACATAGCTATAATCCCAGCTACTTAGGAGGCTGAGGCAGGAGGATCATGAGTTTGAGGCCAGCCTCGGCAACTTAGTAAAACTCTTGTCTCAAAAAAAAAAAAAAAAAAAAAAAAGCTGGGGATGTAGCTCAACGGTAGAGTGTGCTTGGGTTCAACCCCCAGTACTGCAAAACAAAAACAAGAAAAAGAAACTAAAATCCATTCTCTCGCTGTCCTGTCCAGGCTGTGCATCGGGACTCACATACAACTTACAGGTTTTGCAGATTCAGCTCGTATGATTGTGGTAGCAGGCTTCAAGATGACCCAGTGACCCCCACATCCTGGCATTTGTGCACTTGTGTAGTCTCATCCCACAATGACCCAGATCTGGTCCACATGGTAAACTGAGCACAGACTAGACACAGTGAGTGACTTGTGAGGCTAGGCATGTGGCTTCCACCTGAGCCTCCACCCTGCTGTGGGGACACCCAGTCATCCCTTTGGAGAGACTCGTGGGAAGAATGGAGGTCTCCTGTCCAGAGCCAGGTGGATGCACGGTCCTAGAGGCAGATCCCCAGTACTGTCAGGTAAAGGCTGCTCCAGGAGACGTCTTTTATTTTTAATTAAAAGTCCTATTTAGGGAGGGTGGATGATGGGAAAGGCAGCGGAGCACAACAGACACTAGTATGGCAATTTGTAAATCAATGGATGTGTAACTGATGTGAATCTGCAATCTGTGTATGGGGTGAAGGTGGGAGTTCATAACCCACTAGAATCAAAGTGTGGAATATGATATGTCAAGAAATTTGTAATGTTTTGAACAACCCACAATAAAAAATTAAAAAAAAAAAAAAAAAAAAAAAAAAAAGTCCTATTTAAAGTTATATTTATTGGGGCTGAGGCTGCAGCTCAGTGGTAGTGTGTGCTTGCTTAGCATGCACAAGGCCCCGCTCCATTCCCAGCTCAGGAAAAAAAAAAAAAAAGGAACTAGTGCTAGTTATCAATATCGTATTTATACCATGAATTCATTGAACATTATAAGAAAGTTTCATGGAATGTCACATCATGCCTTTTTCCCAGGGATCCCAACTAAGGCTTTATCTTAGAGGTCCCTTTCAAAGTATCTGTTCATTTATTTTTAGATTCAAAATTTTTGAAAAAAATTTATTAAGACGTATGAATTGTGTATACGGCTGAGGTTCCGCCTGGTATTTCCGAGCCTGCACCCAGCACCAGCTGAGCACACCTCGCCTCCTTTCCACCCTCCCCTCGCCCCACACCTTCCCCATCTCTAGAAATCACTGGGCTACTTTCAGGTTGACTTTTTTTAGCTTCTGCCTTTGAGAGAGAAGGAGAGGTGCTCCTCCTTCTGTGTCTGGCTTGTTCCTCCTGCTGGGAGACCTTCCAGGTCCACGCATTTTTCTGCAAATGTCTGAATCCCTTTCTTCTCCACGGCTGAGGGACGCAGACTCCGGTCTTTTCTTTGTGCATCCATCTGCTGGGGAGGGGGCACCTCGGCTGATCCCACCTCTCGGCTCGGGTGACCAGCGCCTAATGAACACGGGCATCTGGGCAACGTTTAGACTGCATCCTGCAAAAGACGACAAGTCAGAGCCACCCAGCTGAGCTGTGCTGGATCCCCAAGTCACAAAAACTGAGATGACACATGCGTATGGTTGTTTTAAGTCACTAGGTTTTGGGGTGACTTAGGACACAGCTGTAGATCACTGGTAGCACTTCATTATGGAATGTGGGCGCACTTAGCCCCTGTCATTTCCACGTCTGGCTGCAACATCACCACCTCCAGGTCACTATCCAGTGACGACGCGGTCACTATTGAGAATAAAGTGTAACAAGCCTTTTCTGGCTCATCACGGTGTCCCCTGACTGGCTTATTGCCCCTCCTGTTTAGGTCGGAGGTCCAAGGAGGGAGGAGATGGCCACTTTTCCACCTGGCCTTGGCGCTCTGTCTGCGCCCAGCTGTGGGGCCATGGTCACCGTCCTGGGGAGATCTGAACTGGGGAGAGAGAGCAGCTTGGGCATGGGGTCCGCAGGGGCTCTTCTCAAGACGGATTTGCATGCATTTGACTTCTAAAGAAAGGGGAACTGAGAGGGGCCCCGGACGCCCGAGCAGGCAGCATAGAGGACAGGCACTGCCGGGGCACCGGGCATTCCTCTCCTGGTGTCCTCTGCAGCCATGAGCACCCTGTACACCAACACCGGGCGCCACTACCCACCAGGTAGGGCCCTTACCAGGCGTGGGCTGGCGGTGGGGACCCCGCATCCCCACCCTGGGGCCATCTGGAGCCAGAGACCAGGGCCCGAGGGAGGAGGGGAGGGTGGCTGGACTCTGACTCGCCTTCTCTCTGGGAGGGACCACAGTGGAGGAGTCTGATGGTGACGGTGACGACTATGAAAACATGGCGCCACCCTACAAGGACCTTCCTCCCAAGCCAGGTGAGACGGCTCTCTCAGGAATGAGGGAGCAGGGCCCCAGGGGTCGGTCACTGGACACTGTAGCCACCTGGTCATTCTCGGTTGACCCACCTCAGGCCAGGTGCCACGATGGCAGGCGCACTGGGACTGTGCCCTGCAGCTCTGGGCACCACCTCGACTGAGAGGGAAGGGATGAAGCAGCGGAGAAATCCCAGGGGACCTGGGGGATCTGCCCCATGGCTGGGGGGTTGAGTCGACGAGGGCACCTGGGTGTGGTGGGTGACCAGCCGGGAAGGTCTGTTGAGTGGACAGAAATGTGGGAGCTTGGGAGGTGTCCCTGAGTGAAGTCCCTCCAGGGAACTGGAGGCCGTGAGAGGTTTCTGGGGTTGGTAGTGCCACACTGGTGTCCTTGGGCAGTGCCACCCTGGTGTCCTTGGGCAGTGGCCGTCCTATGCAAAATGGGCCTCTCTATCCCCCGTTTCTGAGGTCCAGGGACATGAGTGGCTCCGTGTGAGGCAGGAGGTGGGCTGGGTTGTACCGTGGGACGGTCTCCTCTCTGACGCCAGCTCTGTGCCCACCCGGTCCTCAGCGCCTCCTCTAAGACCAGCGACATTCTCGCCTTCAGGGCCACCCCTCCCTCCAACATGGCCCCTCCTCATCTCCCCACCTCCACTCCCAAATGCAACATCCCCTCATCCCCGCCCAACCACAACGTGACCTTCAACCTGTTCCCAAACCCGGCGAGGACTCTGCGGTACCCTGACCTTGTCCTGAGTGACCACGCTGCTCCCACACCCATCGCCACGATCACCCCCAGCTTGGCCCTCGTCCAATCCCAGAGCCAGATGCAACCCCACCTAACTCCGTCCTCACTTCCGCTCTCCCTGTGACTCCGAGGCCACCAACTGTCCTGGCTCACCAGGACGGAGGGGTTTCCGGGACACGGACTTCTCAGTTTTTATCTGAGGAATTCCCGGGCGGTTCCGGGGGTCGGTCTCTGCACCGTGACCCTGTCCCTCCCCTTCGCCCAACCCTGACTCTGACCTTCTCTTCTTCAGATTCCACGGCTCCCCCGAGGCCTCCCAGAGCAGGTGAGTGGGGCTGGGGGTCCAGAGGCGCCCTGTGGCTTTGCCCCACCTGGGCCTGAGCAACCTTCCTCCTTCCCCAGGAAAGAAATCGGAGACCCCTCCTCTCCCTAGCAAGCCCCCGAGGATGACAGGTGAGGCCGCGGGCCGGGGTCTTCCTGCTCCGGGGGGGGGGGGGGAGACTCTCCTGGGAATGACCCTTGTCTTTCTGGTCCTTCTAGCCCTGGACCTCCCGCCTGTGCCGCGCAAGTCTCATCAGTTGGGTGAGCAGTGGGGGGGCTGGGGGGTGTCGGCCAGATCAGGTGTCCTACCGTGTGCGCCTGTGACACGACAGCAGATCCCGCCATTTGCACAACTGCATGCCCAATAAAAAATGTGGGAAAAAAGGAATCCTGAGGAAGCCAAGGGGGTTTCCTCCCAACCCCTCCATCCTGACTGCGGTTGTTGATCTCGGAAGACAGAATCTTCCGGCAACTTCTGCATAGACCTCTCTCCTCCTTTCTCCCAGGCGTTGATCGGGAGCCTCCTCCTGTCCTGCCGTCCCAAACCAGCGAGTCCCCCTCCCCCGGGCGGCTCCCTTCCTCCCCTCTCGGGGCGGCCAGTGTATCTGAGTCAGGTCCAGGGTGAGGCCCTGGGACAGAGAAACCTCTCGGCTCCTCCCAGGGAGTCCAGGCCAGGGCCCCCAGGGAGCCAGGGTGTCTGCAGGGGACTCTTCAGCAAGTCCCTTTGGACTTGGAGGAGACATGGAGGTGTTCTATGTCCCAGGGGTCCGCAGGCCGCCTTGAGTGGGAGGGGCGTTGGCTGTCTGTCTCTGGACTGTCCTGTAGACAGGGCGACACACCTCTGCCCTGTGCTCCTGGGGAAAGGCTCAGGGTCCCTTCCTCACACTCTGAAGCACCAGGATGAGACTCTCTGTCCCCATCCACCCCCCTCCCCCGCCCCCCAGCCACTCCAGTGCCCTGGCTCCATCCGAAGTCCAAGAGTCCTGGGTGTCACCAGGAGGAGAGGCTAAAGGTGTACCTGTGTCTGCTGCTGCTGGTGACGTCCCTGATCCTGAGCTGCCTCAGTCTGATTGTGACCCTGATGAAGTGTGAGTAGGGCCAGGATGGGCCGTGGGGAGAGGTTGGGGGCGGGGCCCGGGAGGACCTGGGGTCAGGCTGGACTCTTCCTCATAGACCAGGAGGTGGTGGAGAGGCTGGGGATGTTGACCTCTCAGCAGACGGCCTGGCAGGTGAACGGTGAGTGCCTCCATCCTTCCTCACGCTCCCCGCGCTGAGCTCCGCAAGATCCCCACACCCAACCCCAACCCCAACCCCATCTCCCTTTGCCGGCTGCTGTGCTGGGTGCAAGAGGGCAGCGTGGTGAGCACATCAGACATGACCCTTGTCACGTGCTTTTCCCTGTGGAGGGTGTGTGCGTGCGAGTGCGTGCGCGTGCGTGAGTGTGTGTGTGTGTGCCTGTGCGTGTGTGGGTCCAGACTTCCACTGGACATTATGGCAGCCACAAGCTACAGGTGGCTGTTGAGCACTTAAAATGTGGCTGGCCTGAAATGGGATGTGTGGTGTCACCGTAACTCACACACTGACTTCAAAGACTTGTTCCCACATAGAATGGAACCTATCCCACCAATAATTTGAAAATGCTGGTTGCAGATTTAAATGATAATATAGTGTGGATACAGAGGGACAAGTGAAAACAGTATCCAAGTTAATTTTACCGGTTTCTTTTTGACTTAAAAACGTGGCTTGGGCTGGGGCTGTCGCTCGGTGGCAGGGCGCTCGCCTCACACGCATGAGGCACTGGGTTCGATGCTCAGCACCACATAAAAATAAATAAAATACAGATATTGTGTCCATCTACAACTAAAAAAAAAACAACAAAAAACACGTGGCTTGGTTCACATTGACTTTCCCTTGGACAGCGCAGGTACGGGGGTCATGAGTCAGACATCATAATGAATACAGAGTTTTGGACGTCACAGAAGAGTCTAAAGGAAGAGGGACGCCCCTGCCTGCCTGTTTTCCCTCCTCCCCTGGCAGTTGCCAACTCACTCTCTTCCTGAGCCCCGTCTCCATCCCGATCCCAATCCCATCCTCATGTCCAACGCGTCTCCAGGAAGCCCACCTCTCCTTTTACCCTCAAGTCCCCAAGGGTGGATCCCCCTCTAAGCCACTCTAGGACCCCTGGACCCCGAGAACGTGGGTTTTGAATTCTGCCATTTCCCAGGAGACCCGGGGTGCAGTGAGGAGCAGTCAGTGGGGGGTAGTGGGTGGGCAGGAGGCTGTGGTTCTGGGTTCCCAACCCTTGATCTCTCCTGACAGTGACCGGCATGGCGGGGCTGGCTGGCCTGAAGAAGGACATCGACCGTGTCAGAGCAGACACCAACCAGTCCCTGGTGGAACTTCGGGGTTTGTTAGGTGAGTGGGGTTTGGGGAACCACCCAGAGATGAGGGACATGGCCGGAGCAGCAGGTTGCAGGACTTCATGGAAATGATTTTTAGTGAAGTGATGAGAACGGTGCTTACTGGAGTTGAGAAGGGCACAGCCTGAACAACTGTCCGTGGCATACTAGGTACACAGACGCTGGAGCCTTCTGACAGCATCTCTCTTGTCCCCAGACTGTACCAGGATCACCTGCCCTGAAGGCTGGCTCCCCTTTGAGGGCAGGTGTTACTACTTCTCTCCCAGCACCAAGTCATGGGAGGAAGCCAGGAAGTTCTGCCAGGAGAGTTACTCTCACTTGGTCATCATCAATTCCTTTGCTGAGCACGTGAGTTGTCCCTGCTGAACCCTTCAGAACCACTCTGCATTGCTTCCAGGATTCACCCCTCCTTTTCTTACCAGGATAGAGAGAACTTGTAATTCTTTTTGAGTTATTTAAACTTAATTACAGGCTCTTGCTGAGACACTATCATGTGAGAGGGAAGAAGATATGTTTTATTTGAGTTCAAGTGCTGATGGTGTTTATTCACCCTCTGCAAATCTCAGTTTTATCTCTTCCATGGAAACTGAATGACTCTCTCTAAGATAGTGCCTGTCTTCCAAACGCCTTACGTCTTGCATGTATTAGCATATGTAGTCTTTACAACTCTACAGATCCGTGTATCAGCCAGGAGAGGTAAGGTTCTGCTGCAGTAACAGAGAATCTCCATAGCCCAGCAGTGGTCACGCAGGAGGCAAATCATCTCCGAGTTTTCACTTAGGCTCACAAAGCAAGTCACATGAGCACTCCTACCCTTTGAGGTGATAGGGAAAGAAGGTCTCGTCTGTGAGTATCCAGAAGGAAAGTTGGAATATTTGTAAACAACTTTAATGGTATTTTCCACCCACTCTGAGCCCTAATACTACAACAATTAGGTAAAATTGCGATTTATTCACTTCACAGTTGAAGAAACTGAAGCATAGTACATCTAAGCAACTCATTTTTGGTCACTCAAAACTACTTTCAGAGCTGGGATTTGGGCTCAGGTAGCTGTCTTCAAAGTCCATGACCTTGATCATAAACATCAGAGCATTATGTTTTTGCGTGATATTGAACCCAGCGGTGCTCTACCACTGAGCTACATCCCCAGACCTTTTTAAGTTTTAAGTTTTGAGACAGGGTCTTGCTAAGTTACTGAGGTTGGCCTCGAATGTGCCATCCTCCCGAGTCATGGGATTACAGGTGTGCACCACCACCCGTGGCCTCTGGTTTCTTGAAACCTCCCTGGAGTTTTTACTAGGAAATACTGTCCAGGTAGCTTTTGCTCTTTAGAGTTCCCCAATTTTTTTTGCCACCTCCCGGGGGTCCTTGGGGATGAGGTGGAGGGTTCCTCTCTCTCTAGACCTTGTCTGCATATTCAAAACTTCTTGCCACTGCCATCTCCCCTCCCTGCATATTGGAGACTCGAGGTGGGAGTGTGATTTGCATACTGTAAAATGCACATATTTGAAGCCTGTGTTTTGACAAACATCACTGCCAATCAAACAAGACTCATAACATTCCTACCACCCTGAAAAGTCCTCTCATATCCCCTATCTAGTTAATCCTTCCACCATCTGTGACCACGGATACGATTTCCTTCACCATAAATTAGTTTTTCTGGAGAGGAGTTGCTTTTAACCATAGTTCTTCCCAATCTTCTGTCTTCAACATAAATCCTTCCTTTTCTTCCCAAAGCCCAGATATACCAGCCCCAGGAGGCTCCTTCCCCTGCTTCTCTTCCTCCTCCACTTATTTTCTTCATGAACTTCTCTACTTAGATGCAGATTAGGGCTCCGAGTGGGTGGAAAAACACCAGGGGAAAAACCTCCTATCGTTTCCTATTGCTAAAAAACGTTATTCAAATGCTGTAATATTAAATGCTAAGAGGTCACGGTCATTGTTTGGTGCCAGTCACTGTGTTAGCACTTTAAGAACATTAACCTATTTTATCTGCATGCAAATCCTATCCTACAAGGAGGTAGCTCCTGTTATCATCCCATTTTACAAATGGAGAAAATGAGGCACAAGATGTGCATTAATCCATTTTCAGTTGTTGTAACAAAATACCAGAAGCTGGGTATTTTATAAAGGAAAGAGTTTTATTTGTCTCCAAGTTTTAGAGGTTTGAAAGTCCCGAACATCCCGGGGCTGGCTCTGGTGATGGCCCCTCTGACTGCATCACAACTTGTGGAGCGTGAGAGGGAGGGATCATACGACAAGATGCCTCCAGAGACCTGAGAGGGGCCAGTCTGGCTCTTTTTACAACAACTCATTCTCTTGGGAACTAAACCATTCCCCAGGACCAGCAGATACCTCCAATGACTTATCCATCTCCCGTCAGACCCTCCCCTTAGAGGTTTCCCACTTCCCAACTCCACTATGTGGGGGACCAAGCTCCCAGCACCTGGATCTTAGGGAGAAAAACCACATGCAAACTGTAGCAGAGTGGCCCCCTGCCCGAGGAGCTGTGTGGTCACCCTCACGCCACGTGCTGAAGCAGGAGGGTGTTGATCCCCCTCTGCCTGCCGTGGGGACCAGGGGCAGCCTTCTGAAGCCACAGATGTGTGGGAGAGGACGTGGGGGGCTCTCACCCCGAGGCCATTAGGAGAACTGATGGCTGAATGCAGTTTGTATTTGCAGAATTTTGTGGCCAAGGCGCACGGCTCTCCACGGGTGTACTGGTTGGGGCTGAATGACAAGAACCGAGAAGGGGACTGGAGGTGGCTGGATGGGTCCCCTGTCACGTTAAGGCAAGTGTCCATGGCTCCTGGGGTCTGTCTGTCTCTTCTGTGGGCCCTGAGCATGGGGAGAGGAGAAGGTGGGGAGCATGGCTGAGGGTGTCAGGACCTGGTTCTTTTTTTTAAATTTTAAAAAATATATTTTTATTTTTGATTGATACAATATATTTAGTTACACTGTTATGTAATCATACATATTTATGGGGCACAGTGTTATATTTCAACACCATATATAACGTGTGAGGATCAGATCAGGATAGCTGGCAAATCTGTCACCTCAAATATTCATTGTTTCTTTGTGTGTGTGTGTTTTTTTTTTTTTGTCACCAGGGATTGAACTCAGGGGCGCTCGACCACTGAGCCCCATCCCCAGCCCTATTTTGAATTTTATTTGGAGACAGGGGCTCACTGAGCTGATAAGTGCCTCCCTAGGTTGCTGAGGCTGGCTTTGAACTCGTGGTCCTCCTGCCTCAGCCTCCCAAGCCTCTGGGATGACAGGTGTGCACCACCGCGCCCGGCTGTACTAGCTATTTTGAAATATACAATTAATTATTGTCAACCACAGTTAGTCCCTCATGGTAGAAAACATTAGAAATCATTCCTTCTATCCGGCTTCCCCCTGTACCAGTGACCACCCCTTCTCCGTCCCTCCCTCCCCGTCCCTCTTCCCAGGTCCTGGCCGGCACTTCTCTTCTCTTAGAATCGACTTTTTAGTTTCCCCATAAGTGACGTGGACGTGCTGTACTCTGTCTGTGCCCGGCTTATTCCACTTAGCATGATATCCTCCAGTTCCATCCATGATGCTACAAACAATAGGACTCTATTATTCTATTTTATATTTTTATGGCTGAAGCCTTTGGCTCTTCCTGGTACGTGGATCCTGATTTTAAATATAGAAAAATTTCTCTTTGGGTTGGTAAATTGTCATTAAGCCCTCGAGGGTCTCCATAGCACCTAACTGAAGGTTACTGCCTGGCACAGAGGGACCTGGGGACCCTGACTGGAGAGGTATGTGGGCTCCTGGTCATCTTTTTGGTGCCCCCTCTGGGAAGCCCCTCTTCCCTGCGTGTGTTGTCCTTGTGGTCTGGGACCCCAGTTCTCTAGAATTCCGGGCTGGACTACAAGGGTGATTTTTTTTTTTTTTTAATGATGACAGGGCTTCTGGTCCCTGAACTGGGTTAGCTTTTTGTTGCCGTGACAAATGCCTGGGGAGAACTTGGAAGAGACAGGATTTATTTTGGCTCAGTTGCAGAGGGTTAGGTCCATGTCTGCCGGCTCCGTTGCTCTGGGGCTGAGACCACGGCAGAGGAAAGTGGTCAGCTCACGGTGGCCAGGAAGGAGGGAGGGGGCAGGCGGGGCCAGGGACAAGCCAAGTTCTCTCAGGATCTGCTTCAGGGACCTACATCCTCCAGCTAGGTGCAGCCTCCTACCGTTTCCACCGCCTCCCAATAACCCACTCAAGTTATTGATCCGCCAATGCCATCAGACCCCTGTGACCCGATCACGTCACCTCTGACTGTGTGAGACTCTGGGGGACATTTCAGACGAATCCTAACATGTGGCTTTGAGGTTTCCTCCATTGCAACATCTCAACCTTTTAGCACAACTTTGCAAATATATCAAGCCTCTAGGTTAATGGCTGGAAAAATAAAAAGACTGGCCACAGGTTTGAGAGGAAGATTTGGATTTGTTGAGTTGATGAGCAGGATTTTTTTTTAGCTAGAGATTCCTGATAGGAGGCGCGGCTCTGTAAGAGATGATGTGGCATGGCACTGTGGGGACAGCTCAGGTCCTGGGGTGCCTGCATCCCCCAGCGGGAGGCACTGGCTGCCAACGGCTCACAGTCATGATGTTTCTGGAAATGTGTCCTCAGCTGAATGGGAGGCTGCTCGTCTAAGAGGTTACCCCTACTCCCACGGGGGTCAGCCCAGGGCCAATGAAATCCTAAGAGATGGCTTCCGTGGGGTGACCCTAGGGGGCCTTTGGCATCTCGAGCTCCAGGTCAGGAGGAAGCCGTGCTCAGCGGAGCTCACAGCCTGGTTCAGCTCCTCCTTCTCCGTCCGCCGCCGGCTCCTGCTCCTTCTCCTTTCTGTAGCACCTCCCTTCACGTGCCCCATGCACCCGAGTCCCCGGGTCAGACCCTGCTTTAACAGTGTGACACCAAATAGCGCAATTCCTGCAAGGTGGGGAGGATCCCACTGGGGTGTGCAGAGGGAGGGGTCCTTGGAAGTGGAGGAGGCAGAGGAGGCTGGTTCAGGAGGCCCGGGGTGGGCGGTGGAGGTGGGAGAGGCTGCCCGTGACCGTGACCGACGGGGCTGGGTAGGACAGGTGAGTTGGGGGCGGGGGGGATGATGTGGCGTCTTCAGGTGGTTCTGGAAGGCAAGGAGTGATTCAGATGGAAGGACCCTCGGACCACGATGGCCTTTCCTCTCCCACCACGTTCCTTTCTTTAAAGTCAATAGCTTTTCTGTCTTGTGGGTCCTGGGGATTGAACCCAGGGACATCCTACCAGGGAGCTCTACCCCCTCTTTTATTTTTTTTTCTTTTTAAAATATTTATTGGTGCTCTTTGATGATTCATCCCAGAGGGCTTCAGTATGGTCACACATGCGTGTCACATGATTCTATCCGTCTCGCGCCCAGTGGTTTCCCTTTCCTCCCCTCCCCCACCTGCTCATCCACTCCAAAGCTACACCTTTTTTTTGAAAGACAAGGTCTTGCTACATTTCCCCGCCTGGACTTGAACTTGTGCTCCTCCCTGCTCAGCCTCCTGGGTTTCCGGGATCCCAGGCATGTGTCCCCATGACTGGCCATCCTGAGGGTTGTGGCCGCTGCCCGGGGGCGTGCGTTTGGCACTGCAGAACCACGCAGCATAGTCTCAGCACCCGCAAACCCCCTGGGGTCCCTTGGCTCATGCCTCTCTCTGCCCACTGTTTCTTCCCTCCAGTTTCTGGGCCCCACAGGAGCCCAACAACATCTACGAGGAGGACTGCGCCAGCATGAACAACGGTGGCACCTGGAACGATCTCTCTTGTGCCAAAACTACATATTGGATTTGTGAGCGGAAATGTTCCTGTTGAACCCCCCCGGGGCTGAAGCTAGAGGTGTGTGGCCCAGCGCCTCCCTGCTGGGGGTGAGAATTCCCTGCCGTCCACAGAAGGCTCTGTGTCTCGGGGTATGCTGAAGACGTGATTGACAGCTGGACGTGACCAGCTCCCCGGGGTGCAGGCCAGGCCTTCCGGTTCAAGCAGAGGGGTGAGCTGGAGGGAGGCCGGGGACTTGGTGGTAGGTGCCCTCCCATTTCTGAGAGGTGGAAGACGTTCATCCATTTCCTGATCTTGAGAAGCGATGCTGAGTCTGACATTGAACCTGGGGGGCTCTGAGCATGACGCTGAGCCCAGGATAAAACACCCTGGCTCCCCTGAACCATGAGGCTCCGGGCTCCTTGACCGCCTGGCTGATGCAGACCCGCTTCTGGGAAGCTGTGGGGGCACGGTGAGCCTTGACCATTCACTTTCTCAATGTCTTGGGTGTCATTTTGCACAAGCTATGTGACAGAATCAGATCTCTGGCAAGACCTGGCCCATAGAACTCCTAGAAAGACAAGACCACCTCCACGTAGTACAGCTGGGCCACTCCGTGACTTGGTCAGACCCACAGTACAGTGATGGGCACTGTCTGTCTACCTCTGCCCGGGGCTGTTTGTGGGTCGTAAAGGTCTTTGGTGGTGTAGAAGTTCACTCACATCTGGGTGGACTTTCCTGGGCTATTCACTCTGGCAAAGTTAGTGCTTCTCAAAACGTGATTTCACTGTGTAGTCCTGGCCCATGGTGTTGGGTTCACAGGGCTGCAATAACCAAATACCAGAGGCTGGGCAGCTTAAAAAACAGAAATTCATTTTCTTACAGTTATAGAAGCTGTAAGTCCAAGATCAAGGGTGTCATTTAAGTTGGTTTCTCTTCTTGTCTTGAGGATAATTGTCTTCTCCCTGTGTCTTTGATGGGTCTCCCTTCCATGGGTGTCTATGTCCCAATTTCCTCTTCTTAGAAGGACACCAGTCATATTGCATTAAGGTCCACTTAAGGGCCTCGTTTTACCTGGATTACCTTTTTAGTTACCTGTTTAACCTTCAAATATGATCACATTCTGAGGAACTGGGAGTTAGGATTTCAACATATGTATCTTTTGGGAAAGCAAATCACCCATCAAGAACCAGAAGTACCCTTTGGTCATTTTGACATCCCAAACACACCACTCTGAGGTCTGGCGCTATCCCCGTGTGAGCACAAGGAACTCAACTCGGTGGTCCTTTTGGACAACCCATGAATTGTAATCGAATGGATCAAATTCTTGTTCGCCGAGTGCCCTTACCTAGTAGCAAAGTCCTTCCTGTTTGGGTTGAGAGCAGAAAGGTGGCTTTGAGGAGAGCAGGGAAGTGGGGGAGGGGGGTCCGCTTCACTTCCTGTCCCTCTGTTCTGGTCTCCTCCTACCCCTACAGCTGTCTCTACCTGTCACCCTCCCACCGGCTCCCTGCACAGTCCACAGCCTGCAGAGTGGGCAGGTGTATTGTTCTCAGCCCTTCACCCAGGGGACCCTGGGTCCCAGGGACTGTTTATCTGGGGGTCAGGGGAAGTTCCCGTATCTCAGAAGAGGAAACTTGAGTTTCCTCCAAAATATTGTGTTAAGAAAAGAAGAAGCAGGGGGCTGTGGTCACATCTCTTGAGTGGCTCGGGGATGTGGGGGCCCACGGGGGTGCTGGCCCTTCCACAACTCCCACAACGGTCTAGTTGAAGACAGGCAAATGGAAGAGAGGTTTCCTTTTACCATTTTGGGTCCAGAGGAGCAAAGATTAGGTGAATTAAAAATAATAATAGTCATAGTTTATCAAGCATGAATTAGTCATTCGTATTTAAGCCTCACCATGACTGTGAATCAGGATAATTAGCGACCCTACTCGATACTGGGGAAAACCGAGCCCAGAGGGGTCTTGTGGCTCACCCACGGCCCTTCGGTGGGTAAGTGGCACAGTCAGGATTTACCCAACGGCAGCGTCTGCTGCTTTCAAAGGGATTGTCTGTGAACTTGAATCATCCTCGAGGACCGTGACCTTGGAGCTCTGATCTCAGCTGGTTATTCTGGGAAACTGAACAGCGTGATGTGGTTGGAAACTGACACCCTGGGACAGGAGAGGAGACTAGGGGTTGAATTCTGGGTGAGGTGATGGTTGTCTTTGAGGCTTTTCTGGGGTTGTTACATTGATGATGAGGACCAGGGAGCCGCCTGTGACGGTCTGGAGACTTCTGGAGAGCCTTTAGGATGTGCTGGTGGATTAGATGTCGGGGGTGGTGGGTGAGAGAAAGAGGAAAGAATGACTCCTAGATTTTCAGTCTGAGCAACAGGAAAGATGGAATTACCATTATCAATGACAGGGAAGAAAGAATTCTTATGAACTCCACCTACGTTTAGGTAGTCCATGAACTTCTGCTGAAGTTCTTAGAACTTCTCTTATCTGGTAAGTGGTGGGTCAGGAATGGAATCGTGTGTGTGTGTGTGTGTGTGTGTGTGTGTGTGTGTGAGTGAGAATGGAAACCAGGGTCTCTCACATGCTAGGCAAGTGCTCTACCCCTGAGCTACATCCTCAGCCCAGGAATGGAATCTTTCTTTCTTTCTTTTTTTTCTTTTTTGTGGTGGTGGGGGGTACCAGAGACTGAACTCAGGGGCACTGACCACTGAGCCACCTCCCCAGCCCTATTTTTTATTTTACTTAGAGACAGGGTCTCACTGAGCTGCTTAGCGCCTCATCATTGCTGAGGCTGGCTTTGAACTCGCCATCCTCCTGCCTCAGCCTCCTGAGCCACTGGGATTACAGGCCTGCGCTGCTGCCCCCAGCTCAGGAACGGAGTCGTGTGCATAGGGAATGAGGTCGTGCCCTGTGGATCTCCTTGATCCTCACTTTTTCAGTGACTTCTAGTAGCCAGTATCTGCCATGAGAGTCATCTGACTGGCTATGTGGCCAGGAGGAATTTTCAGGGTGGAAAAATGCTCCCAGGAACAGCTTTCAACCAAAGCCTGGACTTGGTGTATACCTGCCCAGGCTCCCTCATCTCCCAGGAGAATCACCTCCAAAGAGTGAGCTCCAGATAGGTCCTGGAGGTCCCTGGAGGGAGTAAGCTCCAGTTGACGGCGGCTGTAGTTTGCTCAAAACCACGCCTTGTACCCTGGATCCTACCAGGCTCCTTGGTTTCCCTGCCCCCTTCCTCCCGCCGTGCATGTGGCTGTTCCCTGCCAGCACCTCCAAATCAACCACCACTCGATGGGCAGTGACTCCACTGACCAGTGTGTCAACCTCTCCTCGGTGTGAAAGTGACCCACGTTCGGTAGAAGCTGGATTTCGAATTTAGTTGACTAGAACTTGTGGGCACTGGACTGAAGTCTCCTTATAGTCTTTTTACCTTTTCTTAAGATTTTATTGGAGGTACAAAATAATTTAGGGTCCCAGATCTCATATATATTTGGAAACTATTAACTTATTTATTTTAAATTGATGTAAATTGTATATATTAAATAAAGAAAGTAAAAATGTATGTATTTATCATGTACAACAGACGTTTTGAAATATGTATATGTTGTGGGATGGCTGCATGGATCTAAATACAGGTGCATTACCTCAGATGTTTATTATTATTATTTTTGTGGTGAGAAGAAGTAAAATCTATTATTCCAGCAAATTTTTAAGTCCACATACAGCTGGGTGCAGCGGCACACATCTGTACTCCCAGTGACCCAGGAGGCTGAGGCAGGAGGATCAAGAGTTCAAGCTGGCTGGCCATCTCCCAGACTCTCTCATTTCTCTTTGTTTAACACACAGCCCAAACCTTCCTGTAGCCTGTTTTTTTTTTTTTTTTTCCTCAATGAGCTAGGAGTAGTTTGTCAGTTTCTGAAGGGCTACGTACACCCATCTCTTCCCACGCAGCCCTCCATAGCCACCAGTTCTGCATCCATGGATCCGACCAACTGCTGATCAACACCATTCAGAAAAAAGTGACAACCACACGAACACAAAGACTTTTAAATCTTATCATTATTCCCTTAACAACCCAGCATAAGAACTCCTTCACAGAATTTGTTTTGTATTAGGTGTTATAAATAATCTAGAGATGGTTCAAAGTCATGGGTTCTATGCAAACACAATGCCATCTGACACAAGGAATTTGGGCCTCTGCAGATTTTGGCGTCCATGGGGTGTACTGGGGTCACCCCCTGCAGATACCGAGGGGGGACTGAACACCATAAGCTGTGTGTACACCTATGTGCGAACCTGTGTCCTGAAAAGCCTAGAATATTGATCTTGCCCTTTACAGAGAAACCTACTGACCTCTCTTTAGCATATCTCAGCGCCCCCAGGCCCCAGGGTGGGGAAGAAGTGAGACTCAGGAGAAGGGGGCAGGGGAGACCAGAGTGTGGAGGAGGGGCCAGTCTGGAGCGGGAAGGGCCTCCTTTGCCTTGAGTGTGAGCGTTGAGGCAGGAGAGGCGAATGGGGTGTGTGGTAAGGGGTGTCTGGGGTCAGGAAGTCGAGGGACTTCCATCACTACCTTTATCACCTCTGCAGGATAAAAAAGAGGTGAAGCCAGGAAGAAGCTGCTTGTTTATGAGACGCTTTGGGAGAAGTTGATAGTTTAAAGGGCTACATGAGTTTAAAGAGCAGGTTTAGGAGGAGTCAGAGTAAGAACCCGAGGAAAGGCCTTGAGAGGGGTCTCCCCATTTGCAAAAAGTCAAGGAAGTGATTGCAACCACCCTGATTTGGGTACCCAGGGCCAGGCATTGACTGAACACACCGCAACACAGAGAAATACGATTCAACACACGTTTATTGAAAGCTTAGTATCACTCGGAGCACACGCTTCAGGAAGTAAAGGTTAAACACTTCCTCTCCCACAGTGATGTGCAGAATGAGTTCCCGGGGCCTCAACTTTATTCCTTTTTACAAAGGTCACATTTCATTCCCCATGATGCCAACGAGATCCATGGGCAGGATCTTCCATATGGAGCTGAATGTTCTAGTTTTAGTATCATCTCTTCACTTGTTCTGAAAAAAAAAAAAAAAAAAAAAAGGTCCCCTACAGAAGATTTTTAGATTAATGGTGGATTAAGCGTTAGCAAATCAAACATGGAGAAAGAGCAGGAGTGAGTGCAAGCCAGCTCCAGCCACCAGGCAGGGACGGAACCATCTAGAATCCTAGGGCAGGCATGGTGTTCTCTAGCCTACGGTGGGTGGACGTCTCAAAAATCCAGGAAGAAGAATTTTTCTTTGTGACAAATTTTCAGTCATATTATCTTGTATGATTTGAATGTTTGTCCTTCAGAATGTGTATGTTGGAAACTTAATTCCCAAAGACATATGCTAATGGTATTTGGAAGTGGAACATTTGAGAGGTAAAGTGAATGGATCATGAGGACTCTGTTCTCATCAACGGATTAATCTATTTGTGGGTTAATGGATTATTGGATTGTGGGTTATTGAGGGAGTGGCTTTGGTACACTTATTCTGTCTCTCCATGTGATTCTCTGCACCTCTGTGGGACTCTGTAGAGAGTCCCCACCAACAAGAAGACTCTCACCAGAGGTAGCTCCTTGACTTTGGACTTCCCAGCTTCTGCAACTATAAGAAATAACCTTATTTTCTTTATAAATTACCCAGTCTCAGTAATTCTGTTATAGCAACAGAAAACAGCCTAAGACCGAATTTGAATTCCCTGGAGGCTGGTTTTTGTCTATGGAGAAAAGCTATATTTGTCTATGGAAAAAGCTAAGCTCCATGAAGGTAGGAACTGTATTGTTTTGCTCTCTTTTGTATTACCTTTCTATCAAGACCATTTCATCCCTCTAGGAAGGTCCCATTATTCCATACATCTGAGTGGTGTCAGTCCCCTCTCCTGGGGCCCTTTCAATGGTCCAACAATTCCCTGGGCTCACATCCATCTCTCTGTGGGACAGTATGTGTTTTGAGGGATACTGATCTGTGCAAGTCAATTTCCCCCTGTGGGATATACTTGAATGGTAGCATTGCTGGTGACATATTTAACCCATATTTCTTTGCACAGATTCCAAAAGTCAGCTGAAGAGCTCTTAGTGAATGGAGAAGAGTCACTGAAGAACAATTCAGTGGGAATGAGGAACTCAAGCTAGGGTACCAGGAAAGATCGTGTTGTGGTCTGGACCTTTAGTGTCCTCCAAAGGCCCAGTCTGGGGCGCTATTGGGAGGTGATGGAATCCTTAGGAGGTGGGGCCTAATGGGAGGCAGTTAGGTCATTGAGGGCATGCCCTCAAAGGTCTGTTGGAACCTCAGCTCCTTTCTCTCTTTCTTTCTTTCTCAGCTGCCACAAGGTGAGCTTTACTGCTCCACCATGTACTCCCCACCCACCCTGATGTTTGGCCTTGCCACAGGTCCAGTGTGATGGGGCCAAGTGACTATGGATTAAGACCTCTGAAACCATCAAATAAAACTCTCCTCCTTGTAAGCTGTTTATCTCAAGTATTTTGTCACAGTCACAGAAAGCTGAGTAGCACAGTGCTCTTCCTCATACTCTTCTTCAAAGGGAACTTGTGCTAAGACAAGGAGAGGAAGTTTGGGGTATCGGGGTGGCAAAACATTAGAGAAAGTCATGGGTTCACTTACCTCACTCGCTGAGTTTTAAATCGGGGCCAAGCCTGCTGGAGAGCGTCTGTATCTCAGACTTAGACTTTGATTTTGTGGCATCACTAAACCACTTTCGGTATTGTTTCCGGACCTGACATATCAAAGGAAATACCAGGATGGTTTTTGTTAAGATGACAAAATAGGAGAAAAGCTGGTGAATCAGTAAGAAGATAGAGATCTATTTCACAATATGTGGCATAACCATGTGAGGGAATGTTATTCAGCCGTTAGAAGAAAATATTTGGCTGGGTGCGGTGGGGCACGCCTGTCATCCCAGTGGCTGGGGAGGCTGAGGCAGGAGGATCACGAGTTCAAAGCCAGCCTCAGCAACAGCGAGGTGCTAAGCAACTCAGTGAGACCCTGTCTCTAAATAAAAGACAAAATAGGGCTGGGGATGTGGCTTAGGGGTCGAGTGTCCCTGAGTTCAATCCCTGCTACCAAAAAAAAAAAGGATATTTGGATGCACCACTCATGGCTCAACCTTGAAGACCTCATGCCAAGTGAATAATGCCAGACACAGAGGAACAGAGACTGTAAGATGCCACTTACATAAGGTACCTTGAATAGTCAGATTACTCAAGATATAAAGTAGAATGGTGGTTGTCAGGACCTTGGCAGGAGGGGATAGGGAGTAACTATCTGATAGGTACAGGGTTCCTGTTTGTCCTGATAAAGAGTTCTAGAGACAGTGGCAATGGTTATATGACATTATGAATATAATGGCCATAAGCTGTGCACTTAAAAATTATTCAGATGGAAAAACTACACATGGTGTTGCACACACCTGTAGTCCCAGCTACTCAGGAGGCTGGGGCAGGAGGATCGATCACCTGAGCTCAGGAATTTGAGGCCAGTTTGGGAAACATGGTGAGACCCTATCTCAAAACATTTATTTAAGTGGTAATTTTATGTGGTGCATATTTTACTACAGTAAATATATTTTCATATTACAGAAACCATGTTTCTTATTTGGGTTACTCCAGGAATTTAGAACTTGGAACAAAAGTCTAAGTGTAAGGAGTTTATTTGAGGGGTGGTCCCTAGGATGCATGATCCAGGAAGTTTCCACTGGGGCTCAGCTCCCTTGGGCAGCCCCAAGAGACACGTGACCTAATCCAGAGTCATAGCACCTGAGGGGCGGGAGCTGGGGTGTTCATCCACCAGCTCTGTTCTGTCACTGGCTGAGGGCTGCTCTCAAGGGCCGTTGCTCTCTGGCACCGCCACCTTGTCCCAGGCTTGGGCCACTCACATCTCCTGGGCAGTAAGAAGCCCACAGACTCCAAGTCATAAATGTTGTAACCGGAGACCTCAGGCACGTGGTGAGAGGAACAAAGGGCTGTGGGAAGGCCACTGACAGCGCCTGCCGCACAAGGCTTCCCAACTGCGGCACCGTGGAGAACTTAAGTTGGATTGTGCTTTCTGGTGGGGACAGTCCTGTGCACTGGAGGGTGTGGACAGCATCCCGGCCTCCACCCACTAGATGCCCATAGCAACCCACTCCTAGTTGTGACAGTGGGACACGTCTCCAGACATTGCTGACTGTCCCTTTTAATATGCCCTAAACACACAAGTGAGTGCACAAAAACAGCATAACGAGTGAGTGTTTATACGGTTATATGAACAAAATGGGGCCCTCTGAAGTAATGCTCTGAAATTTGCTTTCTTCACTAAGGTATTTTCAGTGTCCTACAAGTCGCAAGGTATTCTTGTGCCTGGACAGTTACTAACGTGTGGATGTTCTAACCCTGTGCTTAGCCTTTGCTCCCCAGGGGAAAGCTCAGTTTCTTATTCCTGAGGAGCTATTTTTCCATTCCAAGTTCGATTTCGTGTTCAGCGTGAGGAAGTGGGAGGATGGAGGAAGAGAGGGAGGACCTTCCTTTTTATTTTTTGTACAAAAGTTTTAAAATCTGGTGTTTGTTTTGCACATACAGCTCATCTTCATTTGAATTAGCATCAAAGGTTAAACTACAGCAATTGGGTTTAAAGATACCAATTGGCTTTACTTCCAATTCTGAAATCAGATGACACTTAGTTCCGTAAAATAGAATGAGTGCTCCATGTAGAATTCGGTCCGTATGCTAACATGGAGACTATACCGTGTATTTTTTCTCCAGCTTTCACGCTTGTAATAGTCAGCTACTGCTAAACAACAAACAATTTCAAGAAACCTCAGTGGCTTAAACAAATATTTATTTTTTCTCACTCTCAGGTTTGTAGGTCTTTGGGGTTTGGCTGATCCTGCCTGGGATCGGCGTGGCTTGGTTAAATTGGTTGAAGAATTGGTGTCAAGTGGTGTGGCAGGTTGCTTTATTCACTCCTAGTTAGAAGCAGTACACCCTGTCTCAGCCTTGGGGTGGGTGAAGCGTTCTTTCCCCATTAGCTTTGGGCCTGACCACCTGATGCACTTTGTCCAGTGGCACATCAGAGGAGGTAATGTGACCAGAGTCACAGGCTTAAAATGGCCCTGCAGGGTACCCCTCACCTCTTTATAATTTTGCCATTGTTATGAGAAAAACATGCCGAAGAACTGCTCCCAGTTCTGCCTAAGCCTCAGGATGAGTCCAAGGAGCAGATATGAATCTGATTTGCATCCAGGAATCAAGCCAAGCCGAGCCCAGCCGGGATCACTGAACCCCACCCCACCTGCAGACCTGAGGAGGAGAAAGGAAGTTCTCGTGTTCATGCCACTGAGATTTTTGACGTAGCCCGTTGTGAGCATGAGCTGACTCTTGTGGTGGGAAAGCCGGAGGAACCTCCTTCCCTGATAGAGCAACCATCTGTTTTCCGAAAGCTACTAACAAATCAGGGGATCTTATAATCAATAACATCTTGCTTTTGTCAATAGCTTTTCTGAGATAGAATTCGCATATTACACAACCCATCTAAAGTGTTCAACCCCATGGCTTTAGGATGTTTGTAGAGTTCTGTAGCCAGCACCTTAAACATGTGTAGAGCTTTATCATCATCCAAGAAACAAACTGCAGAATCACTGTTCCTCCTCCACCCCTCCTATCCCCTCCCCCAGTCTCTCCAGCCCACTCAATAACTCACCTACTTTCTATGTCCGCCTTCAAGAGCACTTTAAAGTAGATAAATGACAGGGTGTGTTCACATATTGATGACAGACTCATGAAAATTTAAACACATGGAATGTAAATGCTCACTAAACTGCGTGCCTCCAAAGTTTAAAACAAAGTTTTAGAGCACCAGAGAAAGGGCTCAGCGTTTACCTGTTGGCTGAGCAGACAGTAGACCAGGAAGATGAAAAAGCCCTGCAGGCTGTTGATGATGGTGAAGAGATACGCCAGGACCTGGCCAGCGGGACCCACCTGCAGGACGCCCAGACACCACGTGCAGCCCAGGATGAGGACCTGAGCTGTGGCTTTGAGGGTCAGCATCCTGAGAGGGGTCAGAGATGGTCACGTCAGAAAGCTTGTAATGGAGCTGGGCGCGGTGGCACACGCCTGTCATCCCAGCAGCTCAGGAGGCTGAGGCAGGAGGGTCATGAGTTTAAAGCCAGCCTCAGCAAAAGTGAGGCACTAAGCAACTCAGTGAGACCCTGTCTCTAAATAAAATACCAAATTGGGCTGGGGGTGTGGCTCAGTGGTCAAGTGACCCTGAGTTCAATCCCTGGCACCCCCACCCTGCAAAAAAAAAAAAGAAAAAGAAAAAGAAAAAAGCTTGTAATGGACACAGACAGCCCTGTAGTGTAGTTGTTAGTAGTGAGGACTCAAGAGAGACCAGGACTTAAATTCAAGCCAGCACTTGCTAGTTGTGGGAGGTCAGGCAAGATACCTTATCTTCTTGTAACTCAGTTCCCGTATCTTCATAATAGAGATGCTCCTGACTCACCCTGGGATTGCCTCCCATACACTCATGGAAAGTTGAAAATATCACTAAGTCAAAAATGCTCTTAGTACCCTAAACCTACGGAACTCCTGAGGCATCTTGTGTTCTGTGGGGGAAACTGCCAGTTTTTTCTTTTTTTCTTTTTCCTTTCAGTGTTAGATGACTTCTCCCTTTAAGCTCCCCCTGCCCGTGCACATGGCTGACAATTAGACTACATTTCCCAGGCTTCCTTGGAGTTGGGTATCATCATGTGACCAAGGTCAGCCAATGGGATGACTTCTAAGTTACCTCTTTCCCATAGATGGGATACTGACAAGGACAGCATCCCAGAGGATGACAGAACAACAAAACAGAAAGCGTGTGAGTCCCTGGTCACTCTGTGGAGGACAGCTTGTCCGCCAGCCCTGGACAGCTGAGAGGGATCAATGTTTCCTCCTCTCTTCTTTGGGAAGGTGGAGTGGGAAGCCCCTTCTCAGAGTCCAGCCTGTACTCCAGCTAATATAAGTCCTCGTTAATTGTGGCAGTGGACGGTTACAGTGTCCCCGCTAGCCCCTGAGCATGGCTGCAGAGTGCCTCTGTGGGTGGATGGGCAGGAGGGACGGAGGGACGGGCAGGGCCTGGCTGGGGGAAAGGGTGGCAGGAGGCCCCCCCCCCCCCCCATCCTACCTCGTGTTCTGGATGGTTGACACCTCACTGTTGAGGGAGGAAAGTTTCTTTCTCAGAAGCCAAAGGACCGAAAGAAAAAACACTAAATTCACCTGCAGGAGCGACACAGACCGGGCACAAAGTACCAGTTAAAATAACGGATGTTTTGTCCACACTAAAGACGCGCAGTTCTACCACTGGGCACGTAGGATTGAATACAGAGGCAGCAGGAGGAAAGTCAAACCACAGAACTGAGGCAATGCACGGCCCCGTCCTGTCTTGCACCTAGCACTTGTGGTGGCCCCTCTTCAGTCAGGAACACTGGGGGCCCATACTCACAAGGATGATGGCACAGACGGGGCCGAGGAACCCCCAGATGAATCCCTGGTCCAGGCGGAGCCAGCAGCTGAGACAACGGGAAGAGGGACGGAAAGAGAGATCAGAGCAAGCACTTGTCAGCAAGGACCTGAGGTGACACCTTCCCTATCAGAGGGCTTTCCCGGCTCTCCCTGAAAGCTACCTGATGACGATGGTGGCTTTGATTGCTCACTACTGTGTATGAGTGTCCCACTGAGCATTTTAGAAGCACCGTCCTGTGGAAGTTTCACAGGATTGTGAGGTTGGGACAATGTTTACCTTCCTTGCATGGAAGGGCTAAATCCTGAGGACATAAGATCCCAGATTATGAGACAGATAAAGTTGAGAGTGAACCACAAAACTCCCTCCTTCCAGAACCTTCTGTACTCTTGCCACCATCTTCAACTGTCTCTCTGGAAGGTAGGTGGAAGCTATTATTAAGAACGTGGAACACAGTTGGATTCCCACATTCTGATCGTGGCCCTTTGACACTGTCCCTGAAAGGCGATCCCGGGACACTGTGTGGGACACGGGGTGAGGGTGCCGCTCACCGAGCAGGTGTCCCATAAAGGTGAGGCCTGGATGCTGCTGAGATGGCCACGATCACTGCAGGAACCCCGTAGCCAACCGGGAACCGGAGCCACTTCATGAGCTTGTTCACGCTGGAGTAGTTGACCACGGTCAGGTTCCGCGCGGTGAGGAAGAGGAACAGCCCCTCCAGCAGCATCCAGGTGAAGGCGGCCAGGTAGAGGTAGTGCAGGGTGCCTGCGATGACCGCACACAGCACCTGAGGAGGAGAGGCCCCGGCGGGGGGGGGGGGGGTGTGTGTGCCAGCTGGAGTGCGGCCCGGGGCCTCTCCCACGCTGGCTTTGGATTCAGAACACCTGATGTCAAACCAAAGGCATTAAAGTAAGAGCGATGATGGCCAAGGCCAGCACTTGGCACCTGGGCAATAGCCCCTGCAGCCCAACCCAGGACCAGAATATGCTGCTCCGAAATAAGGTACTTGGCAATAAATTCTATAACTTATTCCCCCGTCTAGCTGATACCCCTTGGCCAACGCCTCTGAAACCACCACTCTCTGCTGTACTTCTACTGCTCAGAAGTTACAAACTGATCATTCTTTTCTTTCTTGTGTGTGTGATAAGGACATTAAAAATCCACTCTTTGCAATTTTCAAGACTATAATATATGTTTTTGACTGTAGTCATCATGCTGTACGACAGGTCTCCTGAACTTACTCCTCTGATCTAACCAAAAATTTGTAACATTTGACCGAACTCACTATAGTTAATAATAATGTATTGTCTCTCTCCTCCCTCCCACCCTTCCTGTCACCGGAGGTTGAGCCCAGGGCTTTGCACACGCCAAGCATGCTACTCTACCACTGAGCTATACCCCAGAACCCTGCATATTCCGACTTGCTAAAAGAGAGGATTTTTTTTAATACTATTCTTTTTTTTTTTTTTAAAAGAGAGAGAGAACTATTTATTATTTATTTTTTGGCAGTCACAACATCTTCGTTTGTTATGTGGTGATGAGGATCGAACCCGGGCCGCACGCATGCCAGGCGAGCGCGCTACCGCTTGAGTCACATCCCCAGCCCCAAGAGAGGATTTTTAATAAGCGATAAATATGTTGATTAGCCTGGATTATCACTGCACAATGTAGACATGTACTGAAACCTCACATTGTACCCCCAAGTATCTACAGTTATCATTTGTCAAATAAAAATAAAATTTGGAAAAAAATTGCCATTTTGGCATAAGAATTATTTTGAGCCAAAGGCAACTGAAAGAAGCAAACATAAAACAAACAAACAAACAAATAAATAAAAATACAAAAACCAACCAAATAAACAACAAAAAAGGAGCTCTCAGCTTTCCCATTATCTGCTGAAAAAACAAGACATAAATTTATATACTTATCATTCTTTTTATGATGAGAACACTTAAATAATCTATTCTTCATATATATATAATCCCCCCCCCCACATTTTTGATAACAGAGATTGAACCCAGGGACCCTTAACCATTGAACTATAGTCCTAGCTCCCACCCTTAAAATTTTTTTTTAATTGTAGATGAACACAAAATCTTTATTATTTATTTATTTATTTATTATTTTTTATGTGGTGCTGAGGATTGAACCCAGGGCCTCATGCATGGGAGGCAAGCACTGTACCACTGAGCTACAACCCCAGCTACCCCCAGCCCTTTTTATATTTTGTTCTGAGACAGGGTCTCACTAAATTGCTGAGGCTGGCTTTAAACTTGGGATCCTCCTGCCTCAGCCTCCTGAGTTGCTGTGATTATGAGCATGTGCTATACCCCTGGCCTTCAGTGATTTTTCAAAGAACACGATACAGTGTTACTAACCCAAGTGACCATGTTGCTCAATAGATCCCTTGAACTTACTCCTCTTGTCTAAATGAAATTTTGTATCCTTTGACCACTTCTCTCCAGTGCCCCTCCCCTCCTCCGGCCTCTGGAGTGACCTCCGTTATGCTCTAAGTAAAGGAGATCACAGAGCGTTCGTCTCTCTGGGCCTGGCTTGTTTCATACCATAACATCTTCCAGGTTCACCATGTTGCCACAAATGACAGGATTCCTTCCTTCCTTCCTTTTAAATAATATATGCAGACACACATGTACAGGGGGGTCCTCCTCTCCTCTCTACCAGGAAGGACAACAGTTGATCACTGAGGACAACTCAGATCCTCTTCAGCCTGGAGCAGGAACACACTCTAACCACCAAGCATTTCCTGTCTATTTGCCTTCCCACACATTGCCCCCCCTGGGCACCCTAAACTTCTCTTCTTTTACCTTGACCTTCTCCCAAACCTGACCGCCTTGTTGAGGATGCCGTCTAACCCGAGTCCTAAGCCACCTCTTGGAGAGTTCCTCATTGCCTTGCTCTCTCCCTCTGTACGTGAAATCTACCTGGTGACAAACTCGGGCTGCTTTCTCTTGCTCATAGTCTTTGTTACCAGAGCCCCAGCTAAGATCTCAGGAGGGCAGAGGGAAACTGTTTTTCTCTCTTACAGACCTAAGGCCGTTTGATTAGAGCCCCGTTCGGTTCAGCACCCCCGGGGACGCCTGGGTACCTTGTGCTGGGTTCTGTCGATGGCCGTGAGGAAGAGCAGGTGGGCCAGCAGGAGGCAGAGCGAGAGCTGCAGGTGCAGGGAGGTGCTGGTGTTCTGGATGGCTCTGCACAGGAGGAAGGTGAGGGCCGCCAGGACCAGGCACAGCAGTGACACGCCCAGCCCCACGCAGGTGATGAGGCTCAGCACGGGGTCGTCGTCCTGGGGCAGAGGGAGGAGCCTTCACAGCCACGTGCCCTGCTCTGGGGTTCCAGCCTCCCCTCATTGCTGGACTAGGGCGTCCCCCACACAGGCATGATGCCTGATGACAGGTGGGAAGCGTCTACCAGATGACTTTTTTTCTGTTTTCAGCTTTATTGAGGCATATTTAGTAAACAGAATGGACCTGTTCAATGTAGACATTTGAAGCATTTGGACATATGCATGCAAATATGGGTGGCTGGATGGGCCACCCCCAAACATGTCACTTTGGCAAGAAGAATTATTTGGAACTAAAAGCACTACCTTCCCCCATCCCCTCAAAAAAACCAACAAAACCCCCAAAACCAGAAGGCACAAGAAAAAGCACTTTGACTTCCTCTTTTTCTTCAAAAGAAAGAGGCGAAACCTCCATATGGAAGATGATTTCCCTATACCAGGGTGAGAAAGTAACATTCTTCTCACTGGAGAAGTTGAAGCTGAGAGAATTCTGCATAACAGGCCTGCTTGGCTTCTCCCTGGTCACTTCTCCACCCAGTCGACCGCCCTAGCTCGAGCTCCGTGGCTTTGTCACACATTTGCAACTTACTACTGTTTGTCCTATTCAATATGCAGAGTCCAACTTATGATGGTTTGACTTATAGTTTCTTGATTTTTTGATGGTGCCAAAGTGCTGTGCATTCAGTAGAAAGTGTGTGTTGGGTTTTGTAATTTTCTTGGGCTAGTGATATGATATAATATTCTCTTGTGATGCGGGGCAGCAGCAGGAGTGTAGCTTTCAGGTAGCTCCTGTGACCACGAGAGGAAAGAGCCAACACTCTACTCTGCTGACCTTCCCTCTGTCTTCATGATACTTGATCCCATTTCCCCCCAGAGTGAGACAGGGTCAAGTGACCACAGACTGAAACCTCTGGAGCCATGAGCTGAAATAAATCTTTTCTCCTCTAAGTTGATTTTCTCAGGTATTTTGTCACAGCTGCAGGGATCTGACTAACACAGCAAGGAATCGAGTAATCTTGAACTGAAAACATTCAGAAAAAAATTGGATCTGTACTAAATGTGTACAGTTTTTTTGTTTGGACATTATTCTCTCAACAATACAGTATAACAACTATGAACAGAATTTATATTGTATGAAGTATTGTAAGTTATTTAGATGTGATTTAAAATATATGGGAGGATGTGGGTTGGTTCTATGCAAATGCTATGCCATCTTAGGTAAGGGACTTGGGCTTCCATTGATTTTGGTGTCTTCATGGGGTCCTGGTCCATGGACACTGATGAATGACTGTCCTATGAAGAAGAGTCAAATGCTCACAGCGTACCTGGCTGGTGAAGGCCACGAGGACAGCAAAACTGGACAGGTGCGTGGAATTGCAGACAGTGTGACTTTGGTTCACTTGTGTGAGGAAACAGCCATCCCTGGACCAGTGGCCACCCGCCTCTGTGATCTTCCAGTAGACGCAGAAGGCCTCTCGGCTGCTGGGTTTCATCTGGAAACAGAATGAGCTCATGGTCTTCCTCCTCGGGAGGGTGATTCTCAGGGTTGGTCCATGCCAGGGAGCCCATGTGAAGGCTCATGGGTTAGGAGCCACTCAGGGGACCTCTATTTAAAAATCATCTTTAATCGATACCTGTAATTATGCATGTTTATAGCCGGTAATTACACACACTTATGGGGTATACTGTGCTCTTTTTGTGGTAGTGGTATTGAACCCAGGGTGCTCTATCTTTGACTTATGTTCCCAGCTTTTAAAAAAATTTTATTTTGAGGCAGGATCTTGTTTAATTGCCCAGGTTGGCCTTCAGTTTGCAATCCTCCTGCTTCAGCCTCCTGAGTAGCTGGGATTCCACGCATGGGCCATCACACTTGACTATACCGTACTTTTGGGTATATGCATATATGTATATTATATACACACATACATTTGAGGATATATATATATATATCACATATATACATATGTACTTGAGCATATTTGTATGTATATATCCTCAAGTATGTATCACTTTTTAAAAATATATTTTTAGATGTTGATGGATCTTTATTTCATTCATTTATTTATATGCAGTGCTGAGGATCGAACCTCCTATATCACTTTTTTTTTTGGTGAGTATATTAAAAATCTTGGCTTTTAACTATTTTGAAACATAGAATTTACAATTGTTATTGTTAACTAAAGTCATCCTATTATGTAATAAAATGGCAGAACTTATTTCCTTATGTAAACTGCAACTTTGTCCCATGGACTAACCTCCCGCACCCCTGTCTGTCTGCCCTCCCCATGGTCTCTGGTGGCCACTATTGGACTCACAGTTTCTAGGAGGCCAAGTTCCTTAGATTCCGTGAGAGTGAAACCAGGCGGGGCTTGTCTTTCTGTCCTGGCTTATTTCACTTAGCACAGTGTCTCCCAAGTTAATCCACATTCTAAGTGGCTGTCAAGACACCTGCTGTGTAGCCTCAGCTCTATTTACATAAGGTAAAATAAAGCCAGGGCTGTTGGGGGCCAGACTTTTATGATATTTTCTTGGCTTCAGACCTCGCCCCTCCCTGTGGGAATCCAGTGAAAACAGAGACTGAGACCTGGTTTCCTTCCACACTGGCTCGGAGCCCAGTCCCTTTACACCAATGCCGTCCCTGACTTCTTATGAACACAGGCATCGATCCTGCGGTGAGACGGATGGTGTATGACTGCGAGACCACAAGGAGAGAGAATGAAAATATTCTTAGCCCTTTCCCTCATCTCAAGGACTTGTCACTTCACGGGCCCAGGAGGTGGGCTGGCTGGGGGTGGCCTGTGGGGGGGGGTGGGGAAACAGGATGCAAATGGGTTTAGGCTCACAAAACCTGACCAGGGCCAGCGCGGCTTCCACCCACCTTCAGGTTCTGGAAGGTCAGAGTGACAGACTGGGAGAGAGACGAGTTCCTTCTGGGTGCCACCGCGGCACTCACCACCTGGGAGTTCAGGTAGAGCGGGTCCTTCTCGTCGGCCTTTTCAAAAAAAGTCGCATTGAGGATGTTTCCCAGAGAAGCATAGGAGATGAAAGCAACCGCACTGGGACCTGAGGACACGGAAAGGGAGCCTTTAGCGGGGCGGGGGGGGGGGGGCAGTGCGGCCTGGGGCTGGGGCTCCGTGGCCGAGCGCTCGCTTAGTGTGCAGGGCCCTGGGTTCAAGCCATGCTACCATGAGACAATACCTCATCCCCATCGGCCTTTTCCCCATTCCTCGACTCTCCCTGTCGTTGCCTTTGTACGCTGTACCTGCTGCTTCCAAGACTCTCCCCCACACAGCTGCCTGGGGGGTTCCTGGCCTTCCACAGGTTTCTGTTCCACCATCACCCAATCAAGGCTTCATGGATGGTGTACAAAACAGTTCCTTCCCAATGTCTCTCTATCCTTCTTCATCATTCCTAAGCACCCGACACATCATGCCCCTTTATTTAACTAGTAGACTGTCTCCCCTGACTCACCAGCTGGGGAAACTGGAGTGGTAGAGATGATCTGTAAACATTTGTCTAATTCAGTGAACACCTACTGTCAGTGTGTGGTTACAACAGAGTACGAGAGACTGGGTAATTAATAAAGAAAAGAAACTTATTTGGCTTGCGGTTCCCGAGGCTGGGAAGTCCCAGGGCATGATGTTAATATCTGCACAGCATCTGATGAGGGCCTTCTTGCTGCATCATCCCATGGTGGAAGACGGAAGGGCAAGAGAGTGCCTTCAAAAGGTGGAGCCTGCAAACTTGGGTCCCTCTTCCTCTTCTTATAAAGCTGCTAATCCCATGATGATGGGGGTCTCACCCTTCCAACCTTGTCCCATCCTAGTCACTTCCCAAAGGCCTACCTCCAAACACCATCAACATGTGAATTTGGAGATTAACTTTCCAATACATGAATTTTAGGGAATGCTCCAAATCACAGGATCCATAGGACCCATAGCACCCATAGCTTCCCTTTGATCAGAGATATGGGGTGGATCAGGATGGCCTGAATTAGTTACAGGTATTAAGCCTTTGATGGCTCCTGTTAGGTCTGAGTGTGTTCCCCAAAATTTGTGTGCTGGAAATTTAATCCCCCATGCAGTTCTGTTGGGAGGTAGAACTTTTTGGGAGGTGTTTGGGTCACAAGGGCTCTGCCTGCATGAACACATGACCGGCACTCTAGAAGTTGTTAGAAGGAGTTGGTCTTCTCCTGCCCCTCCTCTCTCCATGATGGAATGATGCAGCAAGAACCCGTGCATTGATCTTAGACTCCCAGCCTCCGGAACAGCGGGAAACAAACTTCTGTTCTTTGTAAATTACCCAGGCTCAGGATCTGTTAGCAGCAACCCAAATGGATAAACCCAGACCCCATTTATTATGCTGTTAGCTATCATGTTTCAATTGCAAGTATAGGAAAAATATTGCCAAACTTAAAATTTGGAAGTTTTCCTTATGCAACCCCATTTTTGGTTTGTCTTGAAAAATCAGAAAGTCTGCTGATCCCGGGACAATGGGTAACAACCCAATGCTTTCTGTATGAGCTGTAGAAGCTGCTGTAGGGACCCCGACCTACAGGTGGATTCTATGACAAGCAGCATGACCCTCTGAGTGACGGTATTTGGCTGCCCACAGGGTGGCTGGAGGGGGCCCTTACCACCCACAAACAGATCAGAGCAGGTGGTCAGCTCCTCAGCCCCTACCCTAAGTGGAATAGCCAAGTGGGAGGGCACCTTGCAGCCCCCTGGGCCCCAGCAGTTACCTGATCGCTCAGGTATCCTGACAGGTTGCCTTTACCTAGGTAATGACGTGTCACTTGGCTAGGCCATGGGACCTAGATATTTGATCCAACATCAGTCTGGATTTTACTGCAAAGGTTTATTTTTTTATTTTTTTAAAAATTTTATGAGATTCACATTGATGTAAATAGATTTTGAGTAAAAGCAGATTTCCCTCCTTAAAATGGGGGTGGACCTCATCTAATCAGTTGAAGGCCTTGAGAGAAAACAGACTGAGAACTTCCAGAGAAGGGGAACTTCTGCCTCCTGAGTATCTCTGGATTCAAGCTGCGACATTAGCTCTTCCCTGGGTCTCCAACTGGCCAGTCTCCAACTGGCCTCTGCTGATTTTGGACTGACCCGGCCTCTGTCATCCTGGGAGCACACACCTAGGCCCACACCCTGTCGGTGGGGTTTCATAGAGACCCCTGACTCATACACCCACTGGTGTTTTCTGGTGTCATTTTCCAAATGGACTCCATACGTTTGTTCACCCAGGGTCTGCTTTGGGTGAAAGCAAAATCAAGACACGGGAAGATTAACCCCCGACCCCCAAATTTCATAGAAGTCTTTTCCAAGCGGCAGAACAGAAAGCCTCCCCTTGGGGAAGATGTCTTTGTGTATTTTTGAAAGGAAAAAACTCGAATGGCAAAGCTCAAGGGCAACAACCCATTGGGGAGGAGGCTTCAGGGCACATTTCCCAGGGACTTGGCCGAGGCCCTGCTCTGAGGGCCCTGCTCTGAGGGCCCTGAGTGCCGCTTGCCCGTACCTTGTGTGCGTCCCTGGATGACATCGATGCAGTGGATGTCCACGGAGTTCATCTGGGTGTGTAAGCGGAATGCCTTTCTTTCTTCGGAGCAATTGTCTGAAACCACTCGAGTTTCGACAGCTGGTGAGGAAAGCAAGGGTCAAGTTTACTGATGTTATAAGGACCTTTGAAAGTTGCCTAGTGGGCTGGGGTGTGGTCAGCGGTGGAGTGTTTACCTAGCACCACAAGACCCAGCACCTCCCCAAATTACTTTTAAGTCAAAATTATAGGCTCAGCACCCAAAATTAAATTCCTTCTAAATCGAAATAATAGACCCAGGATTGGAGACCATTGTCTATTATAATAATAATAATGGTAATATTATTATTATTTTCAGTACTGGGTATTGAACCCAAGGACACTCTGCCACTGAGGTACTCCCCAGCCCTTTTTATTTTTTTTATTTTGACAGAGATCTCGCTAACTTGCTAAGGCAGGCCTTGAACTTGCAATCCTTGTGCCTCAGCCTCCCGATAGCTGGAATTACAGGCATGCACCATCATGCTTCAATATCTTTTTTTTTTTTTGGTACTGGAGATTGAACCCAGGGGAGCTTAACCACTGAGCCAGCCCTTTTTATATTTTACTTAGACACAGGCTCTCACTAAGTTGCTTAGGGCCTCGCTAAGTAGCTGAGACTGGCTTTGAAGTTGCGATCCTCCTGACCAAGCCTCCCGAACCCCTGGGATTTCAATATCTTTGCGAAGCAGCTTCATGGAGGTGTAATCGAGGTCCAAGAAACTGCACACATCAAAGCAAACAAGTCATTGAGTTTATGCCTGTGAAGCCACCACACGATTGTGCTAGTAGGACATTTCCATCACCCCGTCAGGCTCCCCAGAGGTTCTGCCTCCTGCCTGTCATCCCTCTCAGCCTCCCTCCTCACACAACAGTCTGTTTTCCTAGCAGCTGATATAAATGGCTCATGCAGTGTATTTGTTAATTACTTCACCCAGGCCCTGCTGGTCAGCCGGGCGCAGCCTGGTTCATTCCTTCTCTATCGTCTTCTTACCCACAGTACTGTTTTGGACCTTCTGGATTTTTTGTCCTGGGGCTCTCAAGGCGGTTTCTAGAACTTTGGATTCCACATTCTGGAGGATAGACGAGGCTGTTGAGGCGACTTCTTGCTTGCTTCCTGCTCCCCAGAAAGTCTGATTGGTGAGAAGTGACTCAAAGTTGTTGACAATCTGTTGGAGCTTTGAAGACATAAAGAATTTTTAGAAACCAAATCTGGTAGCTCTCCTATCCAAAGGGAGAGTGGGAAGGAGGCTCTGGAGCCAGAGGACCCAGGTTCAAATCCTGACTCCACTATTCATTCCTGCTGTGTGACCTTAGGCAAGTCACTCAATCCTTCTGTGCCTAAGACAGACCCAGGACCTTATAGAGATTTTTGTTTTGTTTTTTAAGTTGAGTGAGTTATGAGAAGCTGTGCTTTCAGAACACTCTTTTTGCCTGGTAAACACCATGTAAAGGCTAGTTATTTCCATAGGGGTAAGTTTGAAACAGGCCAGTGATTCTCAGCTGCGGGGAGAATCTGCACCTTCTCCAACCCTGGAGACCTTCACCAGTGGTGAAAGAAATCTTTGGTGTTATAGCAAGGGGGAGGTTGCTCTTGGCATCTTGCTGTTCAATATCCTATGAAACTAGGACAGCTGCCCACTACCAAGCATGACCCAGTCTCCAGTGCCAGTAGGCAAAGCCAAGAAATCCCTGAATCCGAGTTCCAGCTCAGAGCACTCTGACTGGCCTTTCCAAACCAAGGGACGTGACGCCGATGGTGCTGAGCTTGGATACAGTTTGAATGCGCACCCTGAGGGTTCTGTGGCTGAGGCTTGGTTCTCTGTGGCAATGTGGGGAGATGCTGTGGACCTTTAAGAGGTGGGGTCTAGTGGGAGGCCCTTAGGTCATTGAGGGCGGTGCCCTTGGAAGGCGATTATAGATTATAGTCGTTCTTGGGAGAGTGAACTCTGATAGGAGAAAACTTTACCTCTGAATTGCTCTCTGGATTCCTGTTTGGGATTATGAGTCTCCCCGCATTTCTACTGCCCCCTACATTATTGTGACACCAGCCATCATGAGGTCTTTTCTAGAGCCAAGCTGATGCCAACTTCATTGACCTCTAGAACTAAATAAATCTCTTTTCTTTATAAAGAAAGCCTGTCTCAGGTGTTTCATTATAGTAATGAAAAACAGATTAATAGAGATGACTAGCCAAGAGAGGTGCTGGGGAAGAAGGAAGGGCCAAGGTGATTTGAAAGAAAATTTTTTAATGCTGAATGTCTCTCCCTACATCCTTCTAGTCAAAATATGGTCCTTGGAGGAGCAGCATTACCTGGAAGCCTGTTAGGAATGCAGAATCTCAAACCCCAGCCCAGGTATGCTGAAGCCAGACGTGTACTTTACGACTCTCTAGGGGGTTCATGAGGGCATCAAGCCCCAGATGGCGAGTTTCATCAGCGCGGGGACCTTTCTTGTTGCAGGTCTTTCTCAGTAGGTGGAATAGAGATTGGCAAAGATGCTCAGTAAATGCTCCTGGGATGAGTGGATGCTCTTTAGAGGGAAATGGTATCACACCCAAGTGTCGTGAGCAGAGCGACATTTAAATAAGCCACGAAGGACAAACACTGCCCGATCTCACTGTGAATCTCATGGAAGAGTTCCAGCTCAGAGCACTTTGATCTCATGGAAGTTGAGGATAGAATTGGTTACTAGAGGCAGGGAAGGAAGGGGGAGGGGATGGAGAAAGGTCGGTCAGTGGTTCAATGCCACAGATCGACAGGAGGAAGGAGTTGTGGTGCTCCGTGGAGCAGGAGAGTGGGTACAGTTAATCATAACACACCGAAGAGAGACTTTAAGTAGACTCTCTATAAGGCCATGGTGGGGTCATGATGTGAATCTGCTAATTACCCTGCATTGATAACTGCTCTTGTACACGAATAAGTGCATCGCACTGGATCTCATAGATACGGACACATTATGTGTCACTCAAAAAATGAAATAGAGAGAGGGTTGGAGGAACTCTCAGAATTGAGGTTCAAATAAATCTTTTTAAACATTTTTCTCTTTTAGTTCAATGAGTCTTCATGAAAATTTGGAGCTTTTTTGTTTTTGTTTGTTTGTTTTGGAGACAGGGTCTCACTAAGTTGCCAAGGCTGGCTTTGAACTTGCCATCCTCCTGCCTCAGCCTCCCAAGTGCCTGGAATTAAAGGTGTGCCCAGCTCTGAGCTGAGCTTTCTAGTTTGGGAGTAGCCTCCCACTGTGCCTGATACATAAAGTCTATCCCTCTCCTCTAAACGGTGGTGAAAGTCTTCTTGGCTTAAATTCACTTGCACAGAGTAGGTGCTGAAGTCTTTACCCTTAAGAATTGCTACTGTAGTTTTAACCCAGAAAGATGACATTTTTTTTTGAAATGCATTTTTAGGTGACATTTGCATAACCTAAAATTTATCGTTTTAAGGTGAACACGTCAGTGGCATGCACACACTCACGATGAACAGCCAATATCCCTCTGCAGTTCCAAAATGTTTTTGTCAATCCCAAATGACTCTCTGTAACCAGTAGCCCCTACTTTCCCTCCTCCAGTCCTGGGCAACCACCAGTCCTCTTTCTATTCCTGTGGATTTTCTTGTTCTGGACATTTCTAACTTTTTATTTATTTATTTTTGAGATGAGTTCTCACTATGTTGCCCAGGCTGGACCTGGACTCCTGGGCTCGAGTGGTCCTCCCACTTGGCCTCCAGGGAAGCTGGGACTATAGGCACCCACCACAGCACATGGCTGGACATTTCATGTGAATGGAGTCATCCTATGTGACCTTGTGCATCTGGCTCCTTCTTGCTTTGGTCATGGAGAAGTGCTCTGTCATGGAGCTACACCCCTTGCCCTGGATCTGGCCTCTTTACCGAGCACAGTGTTTAGAGTTTCTTCCACCTCGCAAGGAACATATTGAGATTTGGTTCTCCATGGTGTATGATACCCCACTGTCTGGATAGCTCACCTTTTGTTTATCCATTTCCTCACTGATGGACCTTTAGCTTGTTCCCACGTTTTGGCTTTTGTGGGCAGAGCTGCTATGAACAGTATTTGAGTCCCAGGTCCCTTGGGTGTATGCCTAGGGGTGGACTTGTCAAATGACATGGCCAGTCTACATTTAATTTTTCTGAGGAACTCAAAGATGTAATTGTGTAACACAGTGTTCCTGTGATGGCCTGATGATTTGTGGCACTCTTTGAACTCCTATTGTAAGCGTGGTATTATTTCTGCCCACAGTCTGGGGGTTATTATGTGATGTGATTCCACATCATGTAAACGTTGTCAGTCTCCTGGAGGCAGCAATGGCAGTGCGTGTGTAATATGCTGTCTGGGTCAGCACTGCACCAAGTACTTCACAGACGTTATTTCTTTTAATCTTCTCAAATATTGAGGGAGGTAGGTTCCATGATCACCTCATTTTACAGGTGAGTAAATCAATTACTGAGAACATGATGGTTGACTTTGTGTGTCAACTTGACTGGGCCCTGGGGTGCCCAGGTATGTGGTCAAGCATTCTTCTGGATGTTTTTGTGAGTGTGTTTCTGGATGACATTATCATGTGAGTTTCTAGATGGAGCAAACAGATGGCCCTTTCTGAATCCTATATGTAAAAATTTAGATTACTGTACGACCAAGAAATTCACTCTTAGGTATAGACCTAAGAGAACTGAAATCAGGGATGCCTACAAGTATTTATTCATAAGAGCACAACTCGAAATAGTCAAAATGTGAGAACAACCTAACTATTCATCAGGGAATGAATGGATAAGCAAATGGGGGGGGGGCGCTCATCCAATCAGTGGGGGGCCTGAATGGAGCCAAAAGATTATAGAAGAGAATTACCTCCTACCTGACTGTTTTGAACTGGGACATCATTCCCCGCCATGGACTCAAGTGAGAAGCACTGGCTCTTCTTATGACTCAAGCCTGCCAACCCTTGAAGTAGAGCAATAATCCATCTGCTTCCCTGGTGTCCAGCTACAGAGCACCTGACGGGCTAGCCCACTACAGACAGACTCCAATAATCATGTGAGCTGGCTCCTTATAATGAATTGTTAGCTATCTATGTATCTACTACTTACCATTTATCTTTATCTTGCTGTCTAATATAATAGTATCATAAACTAATACTATGTCATATAATTGTATGTAATATAATATATAATCAATACTACCTTATAATGTATAATTAAATCATATAAGTAGTAATATATAACAGTACTATTATAAGAATGTAATATAATTATACTATATAATATAATTAAACAATACATATAGTACTGGGTAACGTAGGAATATTATCTAATACATAATAACACAAGATACAGTACATTATCATATAATACACCATTATGAGTAGCTAATATTACATGTTCATAATAATACAAGTCTCCTGCCCTAAACCCCCTCCACGTGCTGACTTTGTGAATATCAGTTACCTGATTTTCATAACCTGGCTAGGTTCCAGGGTTGGCCTTCACTCACCTCTGTGTGGCCGTTGGGTGTCTTTGAGGAGGTGATATCTGTAGAGGACACGGAGAGGTGTTACTGGTGGGAGGAAGAGGGGGGGCTCACCGCTCTGCCCTGCAGGGCTGTGTCCCCCGTTACGTTCACTGACAGGGTTGCTTGCTTGTTTGGGGCTCACAGCCTGAGGGATTTTTAGCGGGGTGATTTTGTGCCCTAGGAGACATTTGGTGAAGTCTGACCTGGGTGGATACCCCTGGACTCTAGTGGGTGGGGCCGGGATGCTGCTCAACCTCCTACAGCAGCAAGACAGCCCCCTCCAGGAAGAATGATCAGGGACAGCGCGTGGCGGGCAAACCCCTCCACAGAGGAGGCAGAAGTGTAGGTGTCCGTTCTCCAATTCAGTTTTGCCTGGACACTGTAACTGAAACGGCCGAGGAAATGGAAAGTTAGAAGCCTCAGGTTTTTTAAAGTCAGCCTGAGAATCAAAATAATGTTACGGGAAAGTTCTTTGCTCTCTTTAGCCCAGTGACTCAGGCGAAAGCCAAGCTACAGGTCAACGCAGATTCGGAGCATCCAGTTTTGGCTCTCGGCTACCCACGAAGACCTTTGATTGCTGCCTGCGCCTTGTGAAGGTGACCACTTCTGTCCTAGAAATCCAGGGAAAGGCCAGCAATGTTACTTACCTGTGACCATCAGGCCGAGGTGAAGTCTGTGGTTTTCAGCTGAGTCTATTTGCTAACAAGGGCACAGAGCTTTCCTGTAATATTGATGGCTTTGTCTTCAGACTCCAGGAACACTGACCTACCTACCACCTGAGGTGTGTTTGTTATAGGACACCATGTTCATGGTAGAAATATGTCATTTTGACTGAAGGCTGAATAAACTTTGTCATGGCGGGAAGTGGCTTGGACCTTCCAACTGTGGTTAAAAATCAACTCCAAATGGGGTCAATCTCTTTAAAAGCATTGTGCAGAACTCTTGAAATCAGGAAAATAACCAAAGGAATTTTCTTCTCTTCTAAAATAAGGTGAGTCTAAGTAGGTGAAGCCCAGGGGGAGCCTCGGTCAGTTCGTGTCTGGTGGGCAGAGGTGCCCGCTGCCTGGGAGGAGTCTGGTGCGGTTGGAGTTCATTCTTCCACTTGCTCACTTTACAACCACTGATTGAAAGTGTGAGCTTGTGGCAACGAACATGAAAGGAAGGGAGGAAGGGGTGGGAACCCTACCCTGGGCTCCCCCAATGTTAATTCATTCAGTATTTATTGAGCATCTATAATATGATTTTAGCATGAACTACAATACAACACTACCGTGTAGATTGGCTCAGTAACCTCCCCTTCTCTGTCACTTTTCCCACCTGGACCCCCATCTCAGACATGGAGCCCATCAGGTCCAAGATCCTGGTGAGGATTCCACTTGGGAAATATGGGAATGTCAATTTGAATGCTGCAGGCATCTTACCCTTGGTGCGAAAAATGTTGTTACTAAAGCAGTATTGTTTAGGAGCTGAACTTTCCCGTGGCCTTTCAAAGCTGGAAAATTTTTTTACCTATCTATGTATCTATCAATCATCTCAGGTCCTTGCACCAGAGCGCCCTCTGTAGCTCTAACACTGAGTTACATCCTACCCCGGTTCCCCCAATATTAATTCATTCAGTATTTATTGAGCATCTATAATATGATTTTAGCATGAACTACCTACAATACAACACTACCATGTAGATTGGGTAAACTTGGTCTTTCAAGCATATAAATGTATAAGTGAAAATTGTCTGTAAGGTTATTAGGGTGTCCCATATTATCACAATGCCGATACGACTTTTTACAAAGCAAAAAGTTTATCATTTCTAATTTGGAAATGAATAACACCACAGTCAAAGTGGTTTAACAAAACCATCTATAGAAAAATGAATGGAACAAATCTGCAGAACTTAATGTATAAAATGAGGAAGTTTCTTTTCTTCTGCCGTGTTGGGGATCAAATGCAGGGCTTCTTGCATGCTAGGTACAAGTTTTATTTCTCAAAGAGAGCTCGGGAAGAAGGTTTTCTGACATCTCAGAAATTCCTTTACCAGTACCAAGTCCTGAAATGAAATTCCTCTTGTTCAAAGCATCTGGTGTGGTTTCTGTTTTCAGGCTAGATTCTGACTGATCAAGAGGGATAATTATTATTTTCCTACTAGAAAAAGAGTCTCCATGTCCCTCGTGGGCTGCCATGAGACCCAGGTGAGAACACAGGAAGAGAATCATGACTGAATCCTCAAGTCAGGCTGACCTAAATTAAAAACCTGTTTATGGATGACCGACCTCACTATCAGCAGACTTTCGAGTTTCTGGATGTCTCAGTGTCTTTCATCTGCAATGCTTACTTCACAGGATTACTGCAGATGACATAAAGCATGGGCAGCATTTAGTGGAGACCCTAGGATGTGGCACAAGGGAAATAAGGAATAATGATAAGAAGAATAGCTATTAGCATCATTATTTTCTTATCAAAGTAGCTTCCTCAAATTTAGTTTTGTCTCTCTTCTATGAGGCCAACTGTGGCCAATAGCTCAGGGCTGGTAAAGCTCTCTGTGAAATAAAACAGGACATGAAAAAGAGTGGGTGAAAATCTGAGGGCAAGTTGGCACTTGACGGTGACCATCCTTTCCCAAGAATGCAAAGTCACGTGGTTACAGGACCTGTTGATTTGTGCATATAGACTTCCCCCATAGGTGATTTCCATGGGAATGGTTAAGTTTATAGAATATGGAACTTTTGGTGGGCACAGACCCAAGGGTGGGCACATGACTTAAACTGTAACATTTTGCCCATTTCCAAAGAATTTGCAAGTAGGTTGAAGAGAGGGTTCATTAAGCTCTCTTTGGTTGGAGCCATAGACAGGGTAAGATGTGGAGCCGAGGGTGGTCATTTTCTGTGCTGTGATCTAGGAAGCAGAGCCAGCCTTCAGGGAAAAGAAGAAAGGAACAGACACGAGAGGGTGACTAAGGTGGAGGGAGCATGCTGATGGTGTGGGGTCACCCGTTCCGGCTAATTCCAAATCCCAGCTGCATTCTTGGCCTTGAGTTCCATGCATTCATAGGAACACACAAGTTAGCCTGAGTTAGTTTCTTCTTTGTGGTTCAAAGGATTCTGTCTCAATCACCACCTTCTACTCCCTCCATCTCCAGACTACACTTGCCCTCCTTACTCCACTATTCCCTTGAACTTGGACTTCCTCCTTCTCTTTGTTCTCTTCTTTCCAGGAAATAGAAACATAATCTGATCCCATAATAAGAAAATCTGTTTCTTTGTCCGCCCCCCGCCCCCCGCCCCCGCCGTGTTAGACTCAATGAAAAATGAGGGAGGGAGACGAGAGGACAAGAATTGCCTTACTCTGACAAGTGTTCTCATTGGAATTGTTGAATTGCACATCTCCGGAGAGGAGCTCATATCCAGGCACGCAGCGACAGTGAAAACTTCCTTCGACATTCTTACACTCAGCATTCAATCCACAGTATATACTGATGGGCGGTTTACACTCATCGATATCTGAAAGACAAAGGGAAAATTTGGCCAGTCATCCAATGGACATTTATTGAGCATCTACTCTGTGCCAGACGCTGTGCCCTTTCCCCCAGGGTCTGTCCTGGGTATTGGAGATAAATTCGTTTAGGTAGTGGTTGTCTTTGTTCTTTCTTGGTTGATTTTGCTTGGGTTTTTTGAGAAGGAGACATGGAAGCAAGGATTCAAGTGCAAGCGCTTTATTTGGGAGTTGATTCCAGAAAACACTTAAGAGGGAAGTGGTGAAATGAGAAAGACAAGGGAAGGCAGATGATGAAAGGGATGTTATTTAGCAAATTTCCGTAGTGGGCAACTGGGGTGCAGTTCCTCTGAGAACCTCTGGGAGGCAATGTAGAGCACACATGTCAGCGTTATCTCTCCAGAAGGGAGAAGACGTGGGCGTTTACCCACCAACAGGCACTGTTGCTGATGCTCCCAGGAAGCAGCCAGCTTTTCTGCCTCTCATGAGCTGGGGCTGAGTGGTCTCCAGTATCCAGAAAAGACCTCATATTTGGTATGCAGAGGAATGGGGGGAAATGTCAAGGTTATATATGCTGGATACTGACCATGCCTGCTAGTGTAGACGTCGTCCCAACCTTGAACCTGTGAGTTTCACTTTGCTTGGAAATAGGGTCTTTTCAGAGGTAGGTTGTGGCAGGCACGGTGGCACACACCTGTGATCCCAGAGGCTCGGGAGGCTGAGGCAGGAGGATGGTGAATTCAAAGCCAGCCTCAGCAATTTAGTGAGGCACTAAGCAACTCAGTGAGACTCTGTCTCTAATAAAATATAAAAAGGGCTGGGGATGTGGCTCAGTGGTTGAGTGTCCTGGGTTTAATTCCCAGTACCCAAAAAAAAAAAAATAGATGAGGTTCATGTGACTGATGTCCCTCTAAGAAGAAGAAAATGCCATGTGAAGACAGGGGGGGAGAAGGCTGTGGGTGACTGAAGCAGGATTAGGGTGCAGCAGCTTCAAGCCGACTGACTCCCCTGAGACCATCAGGCCCAGTGAGAACATTCTGGAGGGAGAGAGAGAGAAAAAAAAAGAGATGGATGAAAGGATAGAGAGAAAAAAGAGGGAGAGAGGCTTGACCAAACGTGTCAAAGAATAAGCTATCTTGGAGGCGGCTCCTCCTGTCTCAGTGGACATTGGTGGAATGGAGTTGAGACCCCTGGCCATGTCCTTCCAGAGCTCCTGACTCATAGAATTATGAGAAAAACAGAATGCTGGTTTGAAGAGTCTTGGTTTGGGGGTATTTTTTAAAATGCCCCAATAGGTAGCAAGAACAATCATGTTTTTATGAGTGGCGACCCCAGGTCTTGGTCAAAGGATGAAGGCTGCAAACTCTCATTTTGTTCCTTCTGAAGGTGTTTCTCAGCATTGTGATCACCTTGGCAGGCTGAGACAGTGAAACAGAGTGGGACGGACTGTCTGGTTTCTGGAATCCATGTGAAATATTCCCAGCCTGGGGCTGGGGCTGGGGCTCAGCAGTAGCACACTTATCTGGCATGTGTGAGGCACTGGGTTCAATTCTCAGCACCACAAATAACAAATAAAATAAAGGTCTATCAACAACTAAAAGAAAAAAAAAAGAGAAATATTCCCAGCCTGAGCTGGAGACATTTCCTGGCCCGTAAGGCATGCTGGGCTCCATGCATTACCAAAATCTCTTAGAAGCAGATGAAGGATTCTAGCATTTTTGGATGGGGTTTTTCTTTTCCCCCTCCATGTACCGCCACATCTCTGGTTCTCCTAGGTGTGTGACTGCTGGGTCTGGATGGAAGGGAGCCCAGGGGGCCTCTTGGAGAATGGACTTCACACTACCTCCATGGCGGGCTGGGTGGACATTTGGAAATGCCCTATAGGAAACCCAAGGCAGGAAACTGAAAGGAGAGGGTCCCGATATGAATTTTTTCAGAGGCAGGTGAGTTACGGGTTGGGAGTGGGCAAGTAAGAGAGGAAGGATTTATCTGGAGAGAGCAGGTGCCACATAGTGAGCTCCCCTTCTCAGCTGAGGAGAGAGGGAGGGGGCTAAGGCGTGCTCCAGGCTTGTTACTTCTTGCATTTTGTGGGGATCAAACTGATTGGTGCCTGCTTCCCTCGGAAAAGTCTAAAGAGTGAGCCACTGGCTGGCGACGGGGCCAGGGAGGTGCACCTGTGCACATTCCCCTTCCGTATTCCTTGGGCTAAAGGTAGGTGAGTGTCTCCCCAGGACTGGAGGTGAGCAGAGTGTGGAGGTTGCTGGTGAGGGGTGGCCACTCGGCGAGTAGAGGGTACCTGGAGACTGGAGGGTTCGCAGGTGAGGAAGGTGCAGGGAGGACCTTGCTGTCATCAAGAGAATTGCAGGAGAGTGGTGGGGGGATGGGGGCCTGCTCCCCAAAGATCTGGCAAAGTTTACCCTCAAAGTATCTGCTGTGTCTCACGAACATGGAAGCTAAACCACGACCCAGCCTGAGCCGGGTGTAGACTCCTTGCTCTTCCTCTCCCTCCAGGGTTTCTTTTCTACCAAGATTCTGGAAGGAAGGGCCAAGTGGGGGAAAGAGAAGGGAAGCCAGAGACACTGCCAGTTCCTGCCTGCAGGCTTCCCCCCAAGAGGGAGCTTGAACTCCGAAGGGGAACAACCCCCTGCCAATTCCCACCCGGAGCGCTTTTTATCCCATGGGACGGTATGTTTCCATCACTGAATGGAGACTGCAGTTGGCATGTTGGGTGACCACAGAACTTTATATGAGAAATGTTTCAGCCGAAGCTTTTATTTCCTCCTGCTTCAGTAATTATTCTCTCTCATTTTTTTAAAATGACACTATGCTTTTCCAGAAGCATTGTCACATTCACCATCCTCTACAGTCCCCCCACCACTTGTGAAGTCAGCATTGTCAGCCCAGAGGGATAAAGGAGGAAATGGAGACCCAGGTAGATTCCGGAAGAACCTGCCTTTCTTTTTTGGGTACCTGGGGATTGAACTCAGGGTCCCTGGACCCCTGAGCCACCTCCTATTGGGAGTCACCCTGGCTCCAAAGACTAACTCCCCCCCCCCCCCAAGAAGAGTATTCAATGGTGAGCCCTGCTGGCTCACATGATCCTTACCCACCAATCAGACTAGCCCTGCTGGCTCACATGATCCTTACCCACCAATCAGACTAGCCCTGCTGACTCACATGATCCTTACCCACCAATTAGAAAGCACCCCATGCCAACAGTCAAACTGTTCAACCATTAAACTGTCATAACTGTCAAACCACCCCCGGCTCTATAAATATGCAGAGCTGTTCCTCAATAAATGGGCATTTTCTCCGACAAGGAGCCTTGTTCGCTCTTTCACCTCCCCAGCCTTAATTTATATTTTATTTAGAGACAGGGTCTCACTGAGTTGCTTAGCACCTCACTAAATTGCTGAGGCTGGCTTTGAACTCAAGATCCTCCTGCCTCAGCCTCCCAGGGGCTGGGATGACAGGCCTGCGCCACCGCGCCCAGCTGAGAGCACAGCTGTTTCCGACTTCTTCAAGGTGTCTCTTTCTCGGCAGAGGCTGAGTGGCAGTTTTCAGCAGGGCCGATTCCCCAGAATTCTCTCTCCTGCATCCCTCACGATGCCTCCACCGACCCTCATGCAAAACGCCCCTTACCTTTACATATCTCCAGGGGGTATGTGAAAAATTGCTTCCCAGATCCAGAAATAAATCCAGGGTTGCAGGTGCAGTGAGTGCTGTTGACGCAGTATCCGTGCAAGGGGCACCAGTTGCAAGGGCCTGCCGGGAGAAGAGAGGCAGGTCAAACCTCATGTGGCCCTCACGATCACGGGTCAGCAGAATGAATATTGATACAATGGCCATTTTGCCAGAGTGACCTCCAGGTTCCATGCAGTCCCCGTCAAGATAGCAGACATTGTTCATGGAACTAGAAAAAAAAAATCCTAAAATTTACAGTGTCGGGTCAAACACTAATCAGCGCCTAAGAAAGCTCATGGTGAGGGAAGGTCTCTAAAGATGGGGGTAACAAAGGAAATGGGGAGGGGGAGCTGGCCACTTCCCTCATCCCCAGTCCTCAGGAGAAGATCCAAACAGAGTGACCCTGGTTGGGAAGTAGAGGAATGTACCCACAAGACATCTGAAGAGACCCTTCTGGGCAGTGGCCAGCAACCTGCCCTAGATAGTCCCCATTCTGTAGGCACCGGGCAGTCCTCCCTGTATTCCAACCCCCTGCTGCTGAGGAGGAAGGGGTCAAATGTTCCAAACCTCTCCCTTGAGCTCTCCAAGTTATTTCTTTGGGATGAGTAGAAAGTATGCTTGGGGCATCTGCAGCCCTGGGGTTGAACACACAGAGAAAAAACCAAAGACCCAGAACAGCCAACGCAATTCCTCAGCAAAAAGAGCAATCCATGCTGGAGGCATTCCATATCCAGCTGTTAGAGAAGCTTCTATTTTGTATCTTGTTGATTTCTCATTTCTTTCCATTATTATCTGCTAGAAGGCAAGGTATTATCTCTAACCAGAAGAAAGAGGGAAAAACTCAAGTTATTAAAATTCATGAATGAAAAAGGAAGCGTCACCACAGGCACTACTGAAATGCAGAGGATCATCAGAAACGATTTTGAAAATTAGAAAAATCTTGAAGTCATTGACAAATTTCTTGAGACATATGACCTACGGAACTAAACCAGGAGAACAGAGAAAATTTAAACATCAGTTTCAAGTAATGAAACTGAACTGAAGACACCATCAAAAGCCTACCAATAAAGAAAAGCCCAGGATCAGACGGATTCTCAGCCAAATTCTGCAAGACCTTTAAAGAAGAACGAACACCAATCCTCCTCAAATTATTCCATGAAATAGAAAAGGAGGAGGCCCTTCCAAACTTGTTCTATGAAGCCATCACCCTGATACCAAAACCAGACAAAGACAACACAAGGAAAGAAATTCAGACCAATATCCTTGATGAACATAGATGCAAAAATTCTTAATAAAATTCTGGGAAATCACATAAAAACATATTAAAAAGATAGTGCATCATGATCAAGTGAGGTTCATCCCAGGAATGCAAGGTTGGTTCAACATACCGATCAATAAATGTAATAAATAAATCAATAAATGTAATTCATCACATCAATAGATTTAAAGACAAGAATCACATGATTATCTCAATAGCTGCAGACAAAGCATTTGACAAAATAAAGACTACTTCACATACAAAACACTAGAAAAACTAGGGATAATAGGAATATATTTCAACATTATAAAAACTATATGTGTCAAACCCAAGGCCAACCCTATTCTGAAAAAAAGGAAAGTTGAAAGCATTCCCTCTAAAAACTGGAACAAGACAGGGGTGGCCTCTTTCACGGCTTCTATCCAACATAATCCTTGAAGCTCTAGCCAGAGCAATTAAATAAAAGAAAGAAATTAAAGGGATATGAAAGTCTATTTGCCAATAACATGATTCTATATTTAGAAGACCCCAAAAAACTCCACCAGAAAACTTCTAGAACTCATAAATAAATTCAGAAAAGTAGCAGGACGTAAAATTAATACCCAAAAGTCAGTTGCATTCCTATACACCAATGATAATCAATCTAACCAAAGAAGTGAAAGACCTCTACAATGGAAACCACAGCACACTGAAGGAAGAGATTGAAGAAGACTTTGTAAGATGGAAAGACCTCCCGTGTTTGAGGACAGGTGTGGCCCCAGGTCCCCCCCTGATTCACAGCCACCTGTTAGGCTCCGAACACTCACCTTTGGCAACCTGAGCCTCAGCTCCAGACAAGCTCAGCAGAAAGCAGAGTCCTGGAACAGAAGGGAGAGACATGAGAAAATTGAGGAAAGATTCCAGTAACTCCTCCAAGGACTGTGTATCAGTTAGCAGAGAGGACATGTGGCAGCTGGTGGCTGTGAAGTGAGGAGGTGGGAATCATAATTTTTTTGAGTAAAATGCAACATGCCCCGTGGTGCAATCTCCCCTTCATCTGGCTTGTGAACGATCCAGTAAAATCTATCTTCGTCACTGCTTCAGTTTGTTGTATGTTGCTATTACACAGTACCAGAGAGTGGGTATTTATAATGAGCAGAAATTTGACTCATGGTTCTAGAGGTTAGGAAGTCCAAGTGAGGTGCCCGTTATATTTTTGTGGTTAGAGGTGCCTTGCTGCATCAAAACATGCCAGAAAGCAGAACTGGAAGAGAGAGGGAGAGGGGGTGGGGAGAGGAGGGGGGATGTCATCCTTTATAGGAAGCTTCTCCTGTGATAATGAACCAATTCCCATGGTCATGACATGAAATCCATTCTTAAAGGTTCCACCTCTCAAAACTGTTGCCCTGGGGATTAAGTTTCCAGCACATGAACTTTGGGGGAACACATCCAAATCACAGCACTCACTAATGTCTCCTCCCATCATTTTATTTTGGTAACCTACACATGACATAAAATTACCCTAATAATTTCTAAGTGGAGTTCGGTACAGCAGCCACCTCCACCCATCTCCATAACTCTTTTCACCTGGAAGAACTGAAGCTCTCAACTCATGAATCACCCTCTATCAGTCATTAATATCTTGGGGTGGAGTTGGGCAAAGCCCAGTCCTATCTCCATAATACCTGGGTCAGTTAATTTTAGTTACGTTGTCTTGGTTGGGTAAAAAGATACCTAGAGAACTAGCCGGGCTTTATACCTGGGTGTGGGTGTGAGGTGCTTCTGGAGATTGGCCTGAGTTGGTGGACTGAGTCGGGAGGACCTCCCCCCTCCCTTATGGAGATCAGGTACCATACAACCGGCTGAGGGCTGGGCAAAGGGAAGGTGAGCTTCCTCCGTCTCCTGGGGCTGGGGCACCTGTCTTCTACTGCCCTTGGATGCCAGACAGGACTTCAAGTTCTCTGACATTTGGATTCTGGGACTTTTGCCAGCAGTACCCTTTCCCATCCCCTGGGTTCTCAGGTCTTTAGCTTTGAACTGAGAGTTAGACCATCAACCTCCCTGGTGCCGAGGCTTCTGGACTTGGACTGAGCCACACTGACATCCCTGGGTCTCAGCTTGCAGATGGCCAATTGTAGAATTTTCATGTAAGAAAATTCCCCTAACAAATCCCCTCTCAAATGTATCTATCCATCCATCCATCCCTCCATCCATCCATCCCTCCATCCATCCATCCCTCCATCCATCCATCCCTCCATCCACCCATCCACCCACCCTGGTTCCTTTTGAAAGTTCTAGGGAAGAATCCACGTCCTTCCAGCTTCTAGAGGCTACCTTCCTTCCTCAGCTCACGACCTTTTTCCCCATCTTGAGATCCAGATCTGAGTCTCAAAGTCCAGATAATTTATTTAGTCATTTTGGGTCAATCCAGACCAACGGCAGGATTTGGGAGAGAAATCTGGCAGTGATCCTTCAGGAATTGGAAAAAGAGTGATATGAAACCCGTCGGGACCTCCAAGGGTCTCTGATGGCTGCTATGACAAATGACCATGAACTTAGTGGCTTAACTCAGCTCAAACATATCCTCTTACAGTTGTGGAGGTTGGACGTCTGGAATCAGTCTCTCCAGGCTAAACTTTTGGCTTTGCTTTTTCTAGCCTGTAAAAGAGGCCCATGTTCCTTGACTTACTCCACCTTTAGATTTGCCACTGTGATCTCTTCTTTCTTGCCTTCCCCTTGCGATGACATTAGGCCCACGTGGATAATTCAGGATGCTCTTCCTGCTGAAGTTTGGATCTTGAGTGTCCCAAGGCCCATCATCTGTAAAGGCTGAGTTGCCAGCCTATGGTGTAATTGGGAACTGGAGAAACCTTTAAGAGGTGGAGCCTAATGGGAGGAAGTTAGGTCATTGGGGGCATGCCTTTGAAGGGGACCCTGGGACCCGAGCCCCTTCCTCTCTCTTTCTTTTCACCTGGCCACCATGAGGTGAACAACTTTGCTCCACCAGGCTTTCCCTTAGTGGTGTCCTCCTTCATCACAGATTCAAAGAAATGAGGCCCAGCAAGCCTGGACTGAAATCTCTGATTTCTCTGTGAGCCCAAATAAGTCTTTCATCCTTTAAGTTATTTATATCAGGTATTTTGTTATAGCCATGGAAAACTGACTAAGATAGCTATGAACTGCTTCATGGCCTGACCCTTCCATGTTTCCTTAAAAACTCCCTTTCTTTTATTTTTGTGCAACAATTAATGTTGCAGCAGACACTTAAGCTTCACAGCTTCCCAAATATAACTAGTTCACAGAGCCAGATGGTAAAATATATGTCTGAATAGAGTAGCTCCTTGTCTGGGCACCGTCATGTTTAAGATGAGTCTTTGTACAAGCTACTAACCCCAAACTTGCTAATATGGGTGAATGTGTCTTAAATTAGAGTTTCCAAAGGGTCATTCAGCAGAGCGGAAGCCCAGAATTCTAAGAAATTAGAAGTCACTCCTTGACTCATTTTGTGGATGAGGAAAGAGGTCCTCAGGAGTTAAGTTGCTAGGACTCTCGTTGTGCAAGTTTGGTCAGGCTGTTTGACTTCTCTGTTTCCTTATATGGTCCAGCACAGCCTACTTCATGAGATTGTGGCGAGGAGCTAAATTGGGGAACATGTGGAACGTGTTACATGCACCCCATCATTGCTACTTCAATTATCATTTGGATTAGAATCTATTTTAATTCTTGACTTGATGACCATTCCACCACACAAGCTACTTCTGTCCAATGATGTGGGCAGAGAGTCCATGGATAACTGAAATTCACAAAGAATCCATCTTAGAAATATCCAGGACTCTTCTTCCAGTTGCAAAAAAAAAAAAAAGCAACCACAAACAACATCAAAACAAAAACAAACCAACCAAAAAACAAAACCAGGAAAAATCTTGCTTGGAGCTTGTCTCACCTTGGATTCCACAGATATATACCGAACACCTTTTATATGTGAGAGTCTCTGCTGGGGTCTGCAAAGGTGAGGATATTTGCCTCCAAGTAGGTGATGTATTTTGATAGTTTCAGAAGCAGGCAATAGACTTTAATATCTAAGTGGCAGTTATACTTCTAGCAATCCACATAACTTCTCCACGATCCCATTTCTCATCTATAATATGAGGACCCTGTGTTACAATGAGTGGAAAGCAATTTTAGCCTGAAATCAGGCTTCTTTAGGTGCCTTTTAAAAATTATTTTTTAATTAAACTTTTTTTGTAGTTGTAGATGGACAGAATGCCTTTATTTTATTCATTTATTTCTACATGGTGCTGAGGATCGAACACAGTGCCTTACTCATGCTAGGCAAGGGCTCTGCCCTGAGCTACTGCCCCAACCCTCTACAGGTGCTTAATGAAATGAAGCTTTATTTGATATTGTGGCTGTTGATATTATTTGAAGGATGGATGGGGTTTCAAAAATGGGGTTTCAAAGAGGTGGTCACTAAAGCCATAGAATCACAAGAGACAGGGAGTGGAAAGACTGAGGTCTCCAGGCAGAATTCTGTGGGAGGAGCAGTATAGTACAGATCTCAGGCCAGAAGCCTTGGGTATGAATCCTGTCTCTCTCATTTGAATAGTTCTCAGCTGTTTAACCTCAGACAAATAACAACCTCTCTGTGTCCATATCTTGTCATCTGTGAAATGGGGATAATAGTGCCCACCCCCCTGGTCTACTGTGAGGATTAAATGGGATTACATGGATGCCCTTCACTTCAGTGTAAGGTTACATTCTGATAAACCCAGCACAAGTTGAATATCACAAGTTGATACACATAACTTAGTGATCAGCACAGCTTAGCAGAGCCCAGCTTCAATGAGCTCGGAACACTTACCTTGGCCTTCAGTTGGGCAAAACCGTCTCGCAGAAAACCTATTTATAATCCAGTGTTGGATATCTCATGCAATATTCCAGTACTGCCCTCAAAAGTGAAGAACAGAACAGTTGTCTAGGTACACTTCATTGCCAGGTTGGAAAATTGCAAGCTGAACCCTCATAATTTGGGGACTATCTGTACATGTTAGATGCATGATGAGTACTCAAAAGTGTTGGTCATTATAATTAATATTCTCGGCACAGGAAAAAGAAAAAGGAGGAGAAAAGAACAGCATGATAGGAAGGAAAATGAATCGGGGTGGCGCTGGTGCACAGGGTATTCAAGGCAGGGAGGGTGGCAATTAGGAGAAAAAAAAAAGAAACAGAAGAAGAGGGAGATGAAAATCTCACTGGACTGGACCTTGTGGAAAATGTCAGGGAGAGTCAACAGCCTAGTGAGATTCGGGTGGAAGCCAGAAATGAAGGGAAGACGGAGAGAATATTCAAAGCAGAAGGAAAACCTAGATAATGACTGAACCAAATAACCCCTTGATGCGGAGGGTCACAGCAGTGACCGCCACGCTCACGTACCTGCCAGAAATGACCCCTGCATTCTGTGGTGCAGGCCACGCGGCCAGCTCTGCAGGCCTCCTCCTGTGCCCTCAGCCAGCCACCTCTGCGGTCTCAGGGAATCTCATGAGACTGGACACAGGGATCGCAAGGTCGACGGAGGCAATTGCTGGTCTAAAAGTGACTTCTCTTCCTCTTTCATCATCAGACCCAAGTTTCTGTGGTTTTCTTTTGTGTGTGTTTACTTCTGACACCTTTTGTGTGCTCGTTTTTTTAGGGTTCCTGGCTGTGGGTTTTCCTGGTTTTGTTGATTGCCTTTGGGATGAAAGGATCTGCTGCCTCCAGTCCAGAAAGGCTCTCGGGTTACATTGTGTGGCCCCAAGACCAGATAGTGCCTTTGGATTCAAAACAGATTTTAAATGATCTGTGGTTTCTGAGTGGGATAAGCCAGAATTCAGGGTGTTTGTGTTGACAATTAAAGTCCCTAGAGGAGTCATTTTCCCAATTCTTGGAAATCGGTGTCCCCCCAAGCAAATGACACTTTCCAGTTCTGACCGGCATCTCAAAATATGGCAGAGGGCCATTATTTGGGGGCAATCCAAAATGATGAAAGGCTTTGGGAGGAAAGGTCTCTCAACTTTTCCCACTTTTAATCAATATCTACCAGCCTGTGGGGTGGCCAGATACTGGCCTGGAGTCCCAGCTACTTGAGTGACTGAGACAGAGGGATTGCTTGAGTCCCGAGTTCAAGGCCAGCTGGGGACCGTAGTGAGACCTGGAGTCAAAGAGAAAATTTACTAAGAAAATGTTGTTCAATGACCTGTGGTGCCATTTAGGAGTAGAGCAGAGAATAAAAGAGATAACTTATTTTTAAACGTAAAAATTTAACATATATTAATTGTACATCTATTCCCAAACACGCATGGTGTCTGCTCTGATCAAATCCACTCCTCTGCACCCTTCCTAATGACTAGTACTCTGTGAGAGAGAACACGTGGTACTTGTCTTCCTGCAGACACAGGCTTTGCTACGTAGAGCCAAGAGTTGGTGGGCAAGCCAAACCCCCAAAGAGGCGTAATCCACACAGGGCTGGGGCCCCTTCACGCTCCAGTGTACACCAGGGGATGTTTCTGTGAACATTCAACCATCCAAGATCCAAGAAAGAAACACACAACAAGCCAAAAAAATCCACCACTCAAGAAATACACAAAAAGCCATCATTCAAGTATCAAAACAAAGAATTTTATTCATAATATGTACAGAAAAAAGATCCACCACTCAAGAAATACACAAAAAGCCATCATTCAAGTATCAAAACAAAGAATTTTATTCATAATATGTACAGAAAAAAGGCTTAACGTCATTTTTTCTTTTTTCCCAAGTATGAAGCTGCTTCCTAAAGTCTTTTTAAAAAAATATTTATTTATTTTTTAGTTGTAGTTGGACACAAGACCTTTGCTTATTTATTTTTATGTGGTGCTGAGGATCAAACCCAGGGCCTCACCTGTGCTAGGCAAGTGCTCTACTGCTGAGCCCCAGCCCCAGCCCAAGTCTTATTTTTTTCTCTTTGAGTTGTGTTGGAGAAGAGTTTGGGGAACATTTGAATCACTGGATTTTTTTTTTTGGGTGCTAGAGATCAAACTCAGAGCTTTGAGCATGCAAGACAACTGTTCCCCCACAGAGCTGTTGGATATTTTAAAGCAGGTGTAGTATCTTCATATATTTTCTGCTGCTATAACAGAGTCCTCGAGACTGGGTGGTTTATAAAGAATGAAAGCCGGGTGCAGTGGCACACACCTGAAATCCCAAAGGCTCTGGAGGCTGAGACAGGAGGATCGTGAGTTCAAAGCCAGCCTCAGCAATGGTGAGGCGCTAAGCAACTCAGTGAGACCCTGTCTCTAAATAAAATACAAGAGTTGGGGATGTGGTTCAGTGGTTGAGTGCCTCTGAGTTCAATCCTTGGTACAAAAAAAAAAATCAAGAATTATTCAGCGTGTGGTTCTGGAGGTTGGGAGGTCCATGGGGGTTGAGTGGCAAAGGTCTTCTTGTTGGGGACTCTACAGAATCCCAAGGTGGTGTACAGCAAGAGGGGCACATATAAGAGTCAGGGCCACGCTGGCTTTTATTTTTATTTTTTAATGATTTAAAAAATTTATTTATTTTGCATTACAATTCTTAACCACGCTGGCTTTTATAATAGACCCAGTCTTGAGATAACCCCTTAACCCATCAGTCCATAAACAGATTAATCCACTCATAAAGACCACACCCTCATGACCTAATCACCTCTTAAAGGTCCCCCCCTGGATCCCACCTCTCAAGGTCTCACAGTGGGGACTGCATTTCTGGGTGATGATGTTCAAGCCATAGCATGTGGTGATGGATTGGCTTGCATTTTGGGGAGTTTTTAGGAATTTTATGGATTGGAGGTGGCAGGAGAGGATATGAGGATCGAGTCTGATCCGGGCTGAGCTCATCACCAGTGCAATGGCCTCTGGTCATCTTCTATGGCACTTCCATCTTGCAGTCCGTTACCTATCAAAAGACACCAAGCTTTGTCACTCCCCTGCGTAAACCTCTCGGGGATGGAGGCGAAGCTCAGTGGTAGAGCACCTGCCTATCATTTGCAAGGCCCTGCGTTGCATCCCCAGCACTGTTTCCAACAATGGGAATCTCCAGGCATTTACACACCTCAGAGCCCAGATTCAAGCCTCAGCCCCCAAAATGCTGTTCTGTTTTAGGTATAAGAGATGAAACCAAGAACAGAACAGACAAAAATTCCTGTTCTTGTGGATCTTTGTCTTTGGCACATACTATTCTATCTGGAATCTACACCCACACCTAACTCTAGGCCACCTAATTCTCAAAACCCAGAAGAGGCATTTCCTGCAGGGCCGCCTTCGTTATAGCTCCCAGTGAAGCCCATACGAACTGATAGGAATTCCGTCATGGTTAGCTCACGCTGCCAGTAAGCAGGTCCTGAGGTAGGTGTTGGGATGTCCGCGATTTTCTGGGGATAGGCAGGAGTTGAGATGCATTTGATCTGTTGGGGGAGGGACAGATGCTGAGACGCCCAAGAGTTTTGGAGGAATAGGGATGATGACGCAGGTGACTTTTGCAGGGTAAGGGTTGGAAAGCACATGATTTGCCGGGGGAATGGAAGTTGGATGTACATAATTTTTTGGGGGTGATGGGGTGTTAAGGTGAGATTGCAATAAATCACTGAGTTGTTCTTAAAGCAGGAGATGGAAACTTTCTTCACCAGCCAATGGTCCGGATCCACCAGCTGGCGGGCCAAGGGGTAGGCTTCACCTCATAGGTGAGTACCCCTATTATAGTCCAAAACCATATTAATCATAAGTGGCTGTTGCTATGATTCAAAACCATAAACAAACGTCATGAGGGTGGAGTACAAGTTCAAGAATGGTTACTAATATCTAGACAATCAATCTCTGACAGGGTACATTGTCCAGAAAATTAGGCACCAAAGAGAGAACAATTTTACATTGTATAAAATTGCCATTTTGAATTGCCAAACATGCTCTGCCAAGCAACTACTGATGGGTACGGAGGCAGAGCTTTCCCATGGGAGAAGCATTTCTTACATGTGGAGTCTCGGGGCAAAATGTTCGGCCATTGCCCATATAGCCTGGCCCATAAGAGGGGCACCTAACTTGCTGGGGGTGAGATTTTGGACACACATGATGTTTGGGGGATAGAGTTTGGGATGCACATGATTTTGGCGGGTCGTGCTTGTTGGATACATGGTTTGTCTGGGTAGTCTCAGAAGAGGGGTACTGAGGAGGCAGGATAGGGCAGGAAGAGGAGCTAAGCAAGGATGTCTTCCCAGCAGAGGTCAGCCTCAGCCTAATCCCATGGGAGTGCTGGACTGTGCACCCACATGTGGATCCATCCTGAGGCTCGGGTTCATACAGGCCTGCATCAGTCCTCGGCTGTGGGCTGTCACGGGGTGGGGTTCAGACACAACCTGAGACACGCGGGGCAGAGCCCCAGGAGCAGGCACTGTTTGCTCAAACCTCTTTCTCTCAGGCTTTCCTATTGTCTCAGGCATTGCCACATGGGTTGTGTGAAGGTCACTTCCTCTTCATTTTAGAGTGTTCACAATAACAATCATTTCCTATGAGCCACACCATGTTATGAAAAAGACGGGGTGGAGGGCATGGTGAGCAGTTTCTGTATGATTCATTTATTTTTACATTTTTTATCTTTTTAAAATTTTGAGACAGGGTCTCCCTAAGTTATCAGGCTGGCCTTGAACTTGCAACCCTCCTGCCTCTACCTCCTGAGTAACTGGCATGCACCATTGCATTGGCAAATTTTTTACTTTTTTTTTTTTTTTTTTTGCAGTGATGGAGATCAAACCCAGGGCCTTGTGCATGTTAGGCAAGCCCTTTATCATTGTGCTATATCCCCAGCTCGATCTTTTATTTATTTATTTATTTATTTTTTAATGTTTATTTTTTTAGTTGTAGTTGGATACAATATCTTTATTTCACTTATTTATTTTAATATGGTGCTGAGGATCAACCCCAGGGTCTTGCACGTGCGAGGTGCGTGCTCTACTACTGAGCCACAACCCCAGCACCCTAATCTTTTACTTTAAATTGACAAATAATAATTGCATATATTTCTGGGGTGCAATGTGATGTTTTGATAGATGTACACATTGTGGAGTAAAATCAAGCTTATTAACATGCATTACCTCCCATACTTATTTTTTTATAGAGAGAACATTATAGAGAGCAGGGAGGAAGAGCAGGAGGAAAAGATTAACATTAAACAGAGACATGAGGTGGGAGGGAAAGGGAGAGAAAAAGGAAATTGCATGGAAATGGAAGGAGATCCTCATTGTTATACAAAATTACATGGGAAAAAAACAAGGAGAGAAATGAATTACAGTAGTGGGGTAGAGAGAGAAGATGGGAGGGGAGGGGAGGGGGGATAGTAGAGGATAGGAAAGGTAGCAGAATACAACAGTTACTAATATGGCATTATGTAAAAATGTGGATGTGTAACCGATATGATTCTGCAATCTGTATTTGGGGTAAAAATGGGAGTTCATAACCCACTTGAATATAATGTATGAAATATGATATGTCAAGAGCTTTGTAATGTTTTGAACAACCAATAAAAATAAATAAATTAAAAAAAAAGAAAACA